CTAAAAAGGTAGTAGCTTATACAGAAAGAAACTTTTTTAAGAGGGACCATTTTATGTGAAATTACAAGGAGGAAACATTCAGAGGTAAATTATAATTTAAGTTACATCACGACGAACAAAGGCGTTTAAACTAAACAACAAATAAATAATTACCGAGATAAATGCGCGTTAGATAAACTCAAATTCGAATGTAACGTACTCGTATCACAACGCGCATATTTACACAACCGCAGTTAAGATATAGCCCGTGATAAACGTTGAATTCCATACAATAGATTTTTTATGAATTACAAATGACTCGAATTATTTAAAAAAAAAAAACGGTTAAAATAGCAACGAAACGCGCTACGGGATGCAACTGCACGCCACATAGCATCGAAGGTCAATGTTATTTATCGCGTACTCACGGCTTAAAATAGCCCCAAAAAAACAAACAACTCTTCCAACGCTCGAAAGAAAACCGATCGAAGGGTCAATACTACACCCTTCCACGACGGCATAAAGCATTTTCTAATGCAACAAATTGAAGCACGCACTTATTTAGCATATCCTTCGCGCGATCCATTGTTGAAAAATTCCGGCGCTCTCTCGCTCGAATGGCCGGAAATAAAATACGAATCCCACGGCTACAATGCACCGCGTTTTCAAACGTATTTTTATGATTAACCCGTAGAACGAAATGTGAATGAATCGCACGACTGAATGGCCGTTGCGGAAGAGGCCGAGCGCTCGACTATGGGCATTTAAAAAAAAAACACACCGATGTGCTGTAATAAAAACCGACAGCCGTTATGTAGATTTCCAACACAATGGATTGTTTTTGTGCGTCTCGAAGATTTCGTTTGTAATTTCGTGGATTCGATGGTGTTAAAGGGGGTGGAAGAGTTCGAAAGATGATTGTTCAATAAGCGAATACTGTCGAAAAATTGGTGCTGGGTCTACAAACTCGTTATAAATGCGATTTGTTATTGATAATCGAGGGCAGTAAACATTTTTCGGGTATATGAATGAGTTTATTATGAGATGAGAATATCATACAAACCACTCGTTAATATTCATAGAAATCCTATTAATATCTAGGCATTTCAAACTATTTAATACAATCGGTCGAATATGAATGAATAATAAATAATAGAACAATAAGAAGGTAAACAATTAGTACAGTCAACGTAACGAGTTAAATGCAATAATGTATAAGTAGGAGGTTGGGCTCGGAAGACAAACAAACGTGTACCTTTATGTTGTTATTAAAGTGTATTTATCGAGCCGATAATGAATCGAAGTTAGTTTCAGGTACACGAAAAAAAACACACTCACCGACAATAACAGTGGTAACCCCGTCTTTCAACTCTTTACCATCGGCGTTCCCGACGCTCAAAAAATCCGACAAAGACAACGAGGACGCTATCAACCTCCGTTTCTCTTCGAAATTCAAATAATCCAAACTGTTACTTCTCGTCGGCGCCACGATGGCCACGGTCTTCTGCTTGGGCGGGTTGTTGTTGCCGTTCTTCTCGTGCATCTTCACCGAAAAAAAATCACCTTCAAGCACCGCCGTTGCGCGAATTCGAATCGACACCTGCCGACGACATCCTATCTACCGCGTTAATTATCAAATTTTTCGGCGACGACCGACTTCGATTCCGAGTGATTCATGCACCGCGAACTGATCTAGGAGCGGCCTCGACGCGACCGAAACGGAACCAGCCCATCGACTGAAACCCGTATGTTGTTGATGTCGGGTAGGCGAGCAGTGTCGCTGGGAACGGGCGAACGGTGCATTCCGAATAATCCGAATGGGAGAGGACGAGAGACGAGAGCCCCGAGGAGGCCGCACGCACGCGACGGAGACGAGCGAACGGGGCCCCGCGCGCGCACGAGAGAGATACAGCCTGTGCGCTCTGGACCGGACTCGGCGCCGCCGGACGGGTTTTCGATGCGATTTTTTGGTGGATCGCCAGCGGTTTTGGTGTTTTTTTTTTTATTTTTTTGTTCGCTGGGTCCCTGTTGACGGATTTAATTGCACTTGACGTTTTAATTGATTAACGTGAAGGTTTGTTGGCAGCGCTCGACGATGCCCGGAAGATGCGACCTATCTAGTGCACTTTTCGAATGCAAGAACTTTCTTTTCGCTCTACAAATCGCTCCTATTCCAGCCCATTGTTGAATGATCTTTCCAGAAATGCAATTGGTAATTGAGCTTGCATTGTGTAAAAGTCCTTTATCTTGACCTTATTGCACCAACCTTCATTAAAGCTACATAGTATCTGAAGAATTCTCTTCGTCAATGTGCTCACCAAAAGAACCAATGTCTACTTATTGAACGACTTAATTATAAAGAGTTCTTCCAGAACCAAACAAATTCTGCCTTTTTCGCAAAGAATTGCCACAATATATCAGATTTTTCTAGTACATCTAGAATAAGAACTTTCTTTTCACTTATTAATCACTCAGATGCTATCCCATTGTTGAATGATCCTTCCAGAAATTATGCAATAAAATTGGTAATGGAACATGCATTATGTAAAAGTCTTCTAGAACCATACAATAAGCTTTCCTTTCTCCACATAAAAAGTCCCACAACACATCAAATTTTTCATTAATACACCTAAAATGTTCACCTACTCTACACCCCCTATACTCCAAAACTCCTTCCCTATCTTTTGTAATACAACAACCTTGTAGAAGTTTATCCATATAGGAACCTTTATCAGATAAATCTCGATTTCGCATTTATTTAAAAACCATTAATTTAACGCTATCTTCGTAGCCTAATCAGGTGTAATAAAACCGTGCACCTACATATGCAATGTGGAACGTTTGCGCAAGTAGAACCGAGGAAATGGCCAGGGTCGAATATGGAAACCTATACACGAAGGCTGGTAACTATGGTGATGTGAATTTTTGGTTGTGTGATGGACCGCCAGACAGACGAGAATGCGTCCCCTAAACCGAGGGTTTAAAGCGAAGGGAGAGAAAGGGCGCGTTCTAATCCCTAGTTTCCTTTTTCGAAAATAACTCGCCAGGTATGGAATTTCTACTTTTGTCGCGCGAGGTGATAAAAATGCGCCGAGACGTCACGTCGATTTTATAGTTTTTATCTTTGGTAAGGCGGAGATAAAAATATTGTGGGTCTTAGAAATTGAGAAAAAATAGAGAATGTAAAGATTCGTAAACCTCACGTTTTTTTTTAATTAACGTTGCGGTCAAATATCATCGATTATTTTCATGAATCAACTCGAAAGTTATTCAATTAAGTTTTCGTGGAAATCTAGTAATATAAAATAACACCTTAACCACTAGGATAATATAGAAAAAATATTACTCACCCTCTTGTGTTAAATCCTCGTCATAAGAACCTGCAAAAAAATACACATACTTATAAAGTTACTCCACTTTACTCCCTCATTGATTAAACATTTGCTCATTCCCCAATAAATTTCTCGACTCACTCTCATTATCTAATTTCTCGCACAGATTTCCGTAAAACGTACTTTGACTGACCGCAGATGATCTCTCATCGATCGCATCGTTCGATTCGATCCTGTGCAAGTTCCTCCTGCTGCGCGACAACCTCCTCATCAGCTCCATATTCTCAGAAAATCCTCCCGAAAAGTTCTACGCGCACTTCCATCAATTTCATCGTCCGCTCCAATTATTTCTAAACGCTTACATCTCACATACCTTACCGATTATCGCGAACCTCATCTCGAAATTTCCTTATCTTATCTGGTAACTACATCGTATAATAGCGCGTTAACGCGACGCGATTACGAACTGGGAGCGCGTTTCTAAGATTGATATGGTTTTCAAGTCAAGTTCGTTTTACAGTATGTGAGCCGAGGCAAAACAAAAATAATTGTACACAAACTTGTAAGGATAAATTGGAGGAATCGTTGTTTGGGAGGCCACTGGTGTTGGAGAAGCCCGAATTACATGTCAGCAGAGCAAAGGTCGCTAAATTCGAATTTAGTTCGTAACAAATCTGTGAAAAAGAAGCGACGCGACCGGTGCAACGAACTCGCATATTTTATCGCTTTTGTTATTATTCACATCGATATCAAGGTTTGTATTAAATAAATTGTTATTGACCAAACCGCGTGTAGATAGTTTGGATGACTTTTATTCGAGCACATAATTTATTAGAGGGAATCCTATACGAAATATTCGAGTACATAATTCATATTATCAACTATGCGAATCAACTAGAGCGCATGTACTATCAAAGAAAGTACAAATAGGTTTATTTGAACTACTAAGATTTCTTTTGTCGAAGTAGATGTATGGTTTGTTTAATTAGGTTAAAATTAGTAGTTCGCATGCACCTGAAAAATTCTTTCGAAACTCAATTTTTCGATCGGTTGTTTTTTTTTTTTCTCGTTCGTTACCACATTCACACCCACCCGCTTTAGCTTTTGAATCGCTCGGATTCTTGGCAGGCGAACCGAGCTTGTCGATGAATTGGAAGGCCCATTAGTTTTTTCGTCGCTCGATGCGCTCGTTTCGCGTTATTTTTAAATATCTCGTTCGAAGAGAACGGAAGATACTCACCCAAATCGCTTTTCGTTTTGTTCAAATTGAGATCTAAGATGGTCCCTGTGGTACCCGTGCTCGTTGCGTGAGGGGGAGACGATTCGGTACCTGAAACGTATACATAAACGTGTTCAATATACAGTGTGTCCCGCATAATACAAAATTGCATTCCTGAGAAGTTGTAGGCCTTCAAAACGGAGGTGCAATTGAAAATTAATATCTAATTAACGGGTAAATAGTATTTGAGAAGTTTTCTGGAATAATTAGTGTAGTTGAATGAACGTTCAGTCATCACTTAATTATGCAATTAGTTCGTTTATGGCGTAAAATTTAACGAATTATGCAGCGTGAATTCCGAGCATACTTTTGAAAACATACCATTTATTTAATCACTATCTAATTTATTAAATACCTAATGCATAAACAAAATAAACTACGTTGGATATAAAAAATAACACCAACAAAAGAACATAAAGTATTATATTACAGGATACATTTTTGTATTACAATAAATATTTATATATTTTGATAATCGTTAAAATAGTACAAGCTTCTAAGAACGTTTACATTTGGATAATTCGCGCGATTGTGCATAACGTCTTTTTTACATTTTAACAAGAACTGTTTCCTCTGATAAATCTTGATCAAGTCGTTGTATTGAAGCATCTGCCATCTAGGATCGTAGGCTTCGTTGCAATCATTCATTATCCTCCGATACCACAATAAAGGCGTCTTCATGATTTTGTAATACCGCACCGAAGTCATTCCGAAGTTGATAAAATCGCTGGTTTTTAAGAAGTTCGTTATGTACATAATCAGCTCATCCGGTAGAAAGTCCAAACATTGTTGTACACATCCATTTTGTCTAAGTATGGCCTGCTTGACGGGGTAGCATAAATGTTCTTTAACCTTCAAAGACAGCCCGCACAAGTTCTGCAATTTCACGTTGCTTATGTTTACGTTGGAGCTCTGAAAGTACGTGAGAGTGTCCAAGTACACGGTGAAACCGTTCTCGAGTCCTTTAATCGAGCAATTTACCACCAAATCTTCGTGCGATTTGAAACAGACAATAGCGCATTCGTTTTCTACGAATTCGCCGTACGTGAACGATAAATTGTACGTTCCGTTCTTTTTCCAACCATCGGGTAGCTTCTTAGACAACTCCAGATGTCTTCTGAAATTAAAATTGGCGTTCGAAGTATCATCTTTGTACTTAGTTGGCGTGAATTCGGACTCCAACATTAGAATGTAGACGATCGCTATTAGGATGTCGTTTCTGGAAGCGAGAGGCTCGGTCTGTTCCAAAAATTCGAGGACATTTCGCACGGATTTGGGATATTCCGAGTGCCTGTAATCGTCGACTGATATTGGCTCCATCGCTGAAAGAAAATTGCTTCATTCACTTTTTGAATTAACAGTCGGTTTGTTTACGCACCCGCGCTATTTTCAACTAGCCTGTTGATCCCGCTTAAAAATAGAAAAGTGCCAATGAAGCTCCGAACAATATTTACATTGTTAGAAAAATAAAGCGCTATAATTTGACAAATAAAATTCCAAACAATTTGTGTAAGTGATTTCAACAAACATTTGTGAGTCACAATGAAACAAAAACCTAACCTATAATTTACCAACCTCGTCGTTTCGGTGAAAATTTGAGCGCAGTAACTTATAAAAAAACGAATCGAAAACGCAAAACTCGACAATGTCGTCTTATCGAATTTAATTTTCGATCATCAAACGCCTAAATAACGCAAATCAATCGGATGTGGAATATTAAACAATAAACATTAAACATACAGGGTCGATTAATAAAACCTACCATTTTGTTGGTTATTTCTTCCTGTAGCCTCCGTACTTCGGACCGAAACTGTTTGTTTTGACGAATTCCTGCTATTTGAAACTACACTATCACTGCATTCAGCCATATTTTATTGAAACTTCCATATTTAGCAATAGCAACCACTTCTCCGTTTGCATTTACTTACAGTTTAAATTTAATTTCTCAAAACGTCACCAGGCGGCAGTACCTACTAGATTGTCCATTTGACTTCTTATTTACAAGACAAAACTAAGTTGCTTGGGTAATTCAGTCACATTGTAATATTTTTAAAATTAGACTTTTTACAATATACATAAAAATTAGAGGTGCAGCAAGGAAATTTAAACACATTAAAACCTTAGATGATAGTTTATTTATTAGAAAAGTTTAATTTACATTTCCTGAATGATTTAACGAAGTTGTGATTTAGAAGTTTCTGGAACAAAAAATTCGCTTATTAGTAAAATTTAGTAACATTCAAATTATATTGATTAATAGAAACACTTCCTACAAATTCATAGGGAATTTATAGGTTAGTTAATAAATGATATTCTCGATGCCTTACTTGGCTAAAATTCCATCTTTCTTCGTTAACCTCACAATACAATCGTCCGATTCTCCCATGCGTCTGATAGCCCCGCAGAGAGCGTAGCTTTTGGAACTTTCGGTCATTCTTCCGGTCAAAGGATCAACATCGGCGATGCTGAGTTGAATGCTAGCGTGGTCTTTAGCATGAATAATTCTGTTGCTAGCAGAACTAAAAAAGAATTTGGAATAGATTTAGTTAGTAAAGCTCATTATAAAGGGCATAATTGAAAAACACGTGGAAACGTAACCTCACTTACCATTTTCTCGGGCAGTACAAGTCAACGGTTTCACCGGCGTCGTTTTCCATGTTTTATATCTACAATATGAGTTATTTAGCAATTGGGATCGGTAAAAGTGGTGTAAAATGTATTAAATATCTAATAAACTTACGATTGTTATAAAATAACACACAAGAAAATCGATGAATGTCAAAAAAGAAAGGGGACAATGTTGCCAACATGTAGTTACAAAATCATTAAATTCATTTTCTCTATAAATTTATTTTACCAAAGATTTGTTATTACCAAGAGAATTATATAACTTTTGTGAAATTGTATAATCGCTAAATACTGTTGCAGGCATATTTAATTTAGATGTATAAAGCAATTTAAAACATTTATAATACATTGGTACTACTGATTTAAGAAATGAACGATTGACACGTGTCAACTAGAAACGTCAAAAATGTTTACTTCAATAACTTCAAAATCAACGAAATTGAACCCGAAGTTTTTCCGGCATATTTTCAAGCGAGATTTACTGGGAGTTAAAAGGGGCAAAATGTCATGGCAAGAAGAAAAACAGAAATACTTAAAAATGGATATCAACGAGAAACGACAATTGTATAAAACGTACGTAAAGTTAAGCGATATTCCAACTTGGAAACAATTCGCCGGAAATAAAAGTCTTTTGCCTAAAATAGACGTGTTACCGAATTGCCCAATCGACAGTTCGAAAAATTCGTCATTGGTAGATAAGATATCTTACTTTAGTGGTGATATAACTCATTTGGAAGTAAGAGAATATATTTAATAATATATTTTTAACTTATAGTTATAATGAATTGTTTTTTAAGATTGATGCGATTGTTAATGCAGCAAATTCATCCCTACTGGGAGGTGGTGGTGTTGATGGAGCAATTCACCGAGCAGCAGGTAGTAATCTTGTAGAAGAATGCAGAACATTGGGCGGGTGTCCAACGGGTGAAGCTAAGATAACTGGAGGTTACAAATTACCAGCGAAATGTATACACTTATTTAATATTAGAGAATATTACCAAATACATTTGTGAAATTTTAGATGTTATACACACCGTAGGACCACAAGGAGAAAAAACCGATTTATTGAGAAATTGCTACAACAACAGCCTTCAAGTGATGCTCGATAATAAACTGAGAACAATAGCTTTTCCTTGTATTTCAACCGGCATTTACGGTTATCCGAATTTACCAGCAGCTCATGTGGCTGCGTACGCTGTACGGAAACATTTGGAGGCCAATCCGAATGCAGTAGACAGAGTAATTTTTTGCCTTTTCATGGAGGAAGACAAGAAAATCTACGAAGGATTGCTGCAGAGTTACTTCCCATTGAATTAATCTACAATAAGTTTACCACAATTTTTTTTGTTAATTAGTACAAAAGTTTATAATGCGAAATACAGTTTTGTCCTCGATATTTTTTTAAATTGCAGAGAAATAACAGTAGTCTGTGGTTTATTTTGTTGCGTTGTTCGTTAATTACACCGCTCGTGTTCCGGATTCATTTCGGAGTAATTATCGTGAAAAATATCAAAAATAATTAGTAAAGTTTATCTTCTTAAAAATGTACAAATTACGTTCATGTTTTATGGTGATGTTGGAAAATATATAAGAAATAGTAATTTTGCACGTAAAAGTAAATTAATTGCCTAAAAATTCACCGTTGCGTTCAAGCACCTCGCTCCGATTCTTCTTCCACGGAATGCACAAAAATCCCGATTAAAAAATAGAAAGAAGCAGAACGCTCGAAACGGTCACGTGTCGAAGGAAGATAGCGAACAGGATGCGCATGTCGATTCGCTTTACTCTAGTGCTTGTCTAGTAAACTAGCGAAGGAGAGGGGGTAAAAAGTGTTCTCGTCTCAAAGAACAAGTGAAGTGAATTGTCGTTCATCTAAATTTTTTTGGTTATTTCGCGATTTTCAATTAAAAACAATCCGAACCCGATCGAAAACGGCCCTTTGGCGATCCTAATCAGCGTTTGGCGATGGCATCGGACGACGAAGTCGACGATTCTTACGCCGGTAAGTTTGTTTTGCCTGGTTTGCATAGGTGTAAACGTAAGCCGACTTTAAACTCGTGTTTATATTTCATTTTATCGTATTATCGCCGGATTTATTCGCCAGAAGGGCCCCTAATCGCCCCGATGGCCCAATCGGTGCCTCAATTCGCCCCGATTCGCGTCCACGGGCAATAAAATATGTAATTATAACCAACAATCAGATACATTAGTCCAGCGGGGCGAGGGGGAGGTAGATTTTCATTATTTTTGTGACAGCGCGCGGGCATATCCTGACCCTTAACAAAATGGTGGATATCAAACAAAGAAATTGGCAGATTGCAAATTGCATTTGTTCGATTGGTAATTTTCGCGTTATCTCGTCGGGGGTTAGAAAATTCGTATTTTCCCTCCAAAATAGCGTCGCGAACGCGCTGACCAGCGTCCGCGTGGCAGTCACGCTCGATTTGAATTAAATTAATAAATCGCGTTTTTTCTACAGGGGAGGAAGATGCCCCCGAAGAGGCCGTCGAGCAAGTCGAGAACGACCCCGATTCCGAAGACATTCCGCCTAAAGGAGGGGTAAAGGTCGAAAATAAAACCATTTTTTTCCACATTAATATTACCGATAATTGAGAAAATTACGGGTAATTAACGAATATTCAAATTTTAGGATGATGATGAAGATTTCGAGCCGGAAGATAGCAGGAAAAAGAAGAAAGGCAAAAAGCGGAAAGCCAGAGGCGAGGAGAAAAGAGGCAAAAAGAGAAGAAAAAAGCGCAAGAATGACAGTGGAGATGTAAGTTTAAACAATTAAATACTTTTTCTACATATAAATTACCTCACTTGGCCTATTATTCTAGCCTATTTACTACCAAATAATTATAAGATTTCTATTTTTAAGGAGAGCGATTTTGCCGAAGAAGAAAACGGCGGAATGGACTCCGACTACGGAGGTAGCAGCAGCAAAAGAGGTAGAAAGAAGGGCTCCAATAAACATTCCTCGTCATCTTCCACTCCAACGCCTGCGAACGATTCTAGCGGTACTAAAGCCCCATTGATTTACAAACAAAAATTTCATATTGCACTTTTTACATTCAAGGTATGCCAACAATCGAACAAGTTTGTTCAACATTTGGACTCACCGATGTAGATGTCGATTATTCAGAAGCCGATATGCAGAATTTGACGAGCTACAAGCTGTTTCAACAGCACGTTCGGCCTTTGCTAGCTAAGGAAAATCCAAAGGTAACACGATCGAAGCAATTTACATGGGTAATATAGTTGAAATTCGCGATGATTTAGGTACCGATGTCGAAATTGATGATGCTGGTGGCGGCGAAATGGCGCGAATTCTCCAACGCTAACCCCAATCTGCAAGGCGAAAACGAAGCGCCCAGCACGCCTGCTGCGGAAGAAGTGGGCTACTCGAAGCCTAATCGGTCTCGAGCGTCGAAGGAAGCAGCTCAAAGAATTGTCGAAGTAATTTAACACAATTTTTAATAACACTTTTGTGTATTATCTATATTATTTTTAGGCTGATTCTGAGCCATATGATGACGATTTCGACGAAGAAGACGACGAAGACAAGACCAAGAAGAAACGCAGTTCGCGAGGACGACCGAGCAAATCGAAGAAGGCCACCAAAGTGCCAACGTTGAAGATCAAATTGGGCAAAAGAAAACGCGGTAGTTCCGTAAGTACCTACGTGAATTAGCACCACCGATCGATTCTCTAACTTGTAAACGTCTTTAGGACGAAGATGCGGATAATAGCGTTGGAGGTTCGGATCGCGATTCCGACGCCGAATTCGAGCAAATGCTCCAGGACGCCGAAGAGCCCAAGTCCAACAAATCGAACAACGGCGACGAACCGGCCCCGTCGGCCGAAGCGGCCGGCGACGAGACGCCGCAACCCAAGCGCAAAGCGAAAACAAAAATCGGCTGCAAGACCAAGAAAAAGCGAAAGATGAAGGTAAATTGTTTGCGACAAACTCTTATCATTTCAATTGTTCGATCGTTGCTTGTAGAGCGGCAAACCTGAAGATGAAAACTACGAGCACCAGGATTACTGCGAGGTGTGCCAACAAGGGGGCGAAATCATCCTGTGCGATACCTGCCCGAGGGCCTATCATTTGGTGTGCTTGGAACCCGAACTGGAAGAAGCTCCCGAAGGGAAATGGAGCTGTCCCCATTGCGAAAACGAGGGTATTTACATTAAAACGTTACGAAATTAACTACAGTACTAATGTTAATACGAACGAATAGGTCCAGCGGAACAAGACGACGACGAACATCAAGAATTTTGCAGAGTATGCAAAGACGGCGGCGAATTGTTGTGTTGCGATTCTTGCACGTCCGCCTATCACACTCACTGCTTGAATCCTCCACTGACCGACATCCCAGATGGCGATTGGAAGTGTCCCAGATGCGGATGCCCGCCTCTAATAGGAAAAGTAGCCAAAATCCTCACATGGAAGTGGGTCGAAGATCCGCCCAAGAAGAAAGAAAACGGCGAAGAAGAGAAACCCACCAGGCATCGAGAATTCTTCGTAAAATGGCACGAAGTACGATACTAAATTGAGCATAAAGACACCCGAATACTAACGACGGATTCCTTTCAGCTGTCGTACTGGCATTGCAGCTGGATCACCGAGCTCCAATTGGACGTTTACCACCCGTTGATGTTCCGAAGCTATTCGAGAAAATACGATATGGAGGAGCCGCCCAAGCTGGAAGAACCGCTCGACGAGTCCGATACCAGATGTACGCGTCTACTGAAAATGGGCGGCGTCAACAACGACGACGAGCTCGAGGAAAAGTACTACAAATACGGGATTAAACCCGAATGGTTGGTGGTTCATCGTGTGATCAACCATCGGACGATGCGCGACGGTCGCACCCTTTACCTCGTCAAATGGCGCGAGCTGACTTACGATCAGGCCACATGGGAGGAGGATAGCGACGATATAGTCGGTTTGAAATTGGCCGTCGAATATTACAACGATTTGAGAAACGCCTGCCTGAGCGGCTCGGGCGGCTCCAAGAACAAGAAGGGCAAAGGGAGGAAATCCAAAACCAAAGAACTCATGGACGACGACGATAGAAACGGACCGTAAGCGCTACTTTATTCGATCACCAACTTAATAATTGTTGTATTTTTATCCAGTCGAAGGTACACTCCTCCGCCGGAAAAACCGTGCACTGATCTCAAGAAGAAAATGGACAAACAGCCCAGTTATCTGGACGAGGGCGGTATGCTTCACGAATATCAATTGGAAGGTTTGAATTGGTTGCGTTACTCGTGGGCCAGCGGCATCGATACGATATTAGCCGATGAAATGGGTCTCGGCAAAACCATACAGACCATCGTATTTTTGTACTCTTTGTACAAAGAGGGCCATTGCAGAGGCCCGTTCTTAATCAGCGTACCGTTATCGACCATCATAAATTGGGAGAGAGAATTCGAACAGTGGGCACCGGATTTTTATTGCATCACGTACGTTGGTAAGTTCGAAATATCCAACGAAAACCTTCCCTAGAAGATTAAAAACGTTTGTATTTTAGGCGATAAAGATTGCCGAGCGGTGATTCGCGAGAACGAAATCAGCTTCGAAGAGGGAGCCGTCCGAGGCGGTCGAGCTTCGAGAATCCGGGCCAGTTCGATTAAATTCAACGTTTTGCTGACCAGCTACGAGCTGATTTCGATCGATTCGGCCTGCTTGGGCTCCATCGAATGGGCCGTACTGGTGGTCGACGAAGCCCACCGATTGAAGAGCAACCAATCGAAGTTCTTCAAATGTTTGAACAGCTACAACATCAGCTACAAGCTGCTGTTGACCGGAACGCCCTTGCAGAACAATCTCGAGGAGCTGTTCCATTTGTTGAACTTCCTGAACGGCGAGAAGTTCAACGATTTGCAGAACTTCCAGGCCGAGTTCGCCGACATTTCGAAAGAAGATCAGGTGAATGGGATTGGTTAAAATGAGTTAATTGGCGATTCTAATCGAGGATTTTTAGGTGAAAAAATTGCACGAAATGTTGGGTCCGCACATGTTGCGTCGTCTCAAAGCCGATGTACTTAAAAGCATGCCCTCGAAATCCGAATTTATCGTACGCGTCGAGTTATCTCCGATGCAAAAGAAATACTACAAATACATTCTGACGAGGAACTTCGAAGCGTTGAACCCGAAAGGCGGCGGCCAACAGGTATACGAATACGCAATTATCTAAATAATCGCTCCTAACAATTATTTCGTGTAGGTTTCTCTGTTGAACATTATGATGGATTTGAAAAAATGCTGCAACCACCCGTATTTGTTCCCCGCCGCGGCCGAAGAGGCCCCGTTGGGGCCGCACGGCAACTGGGACGTGGGCCATCTGACCAGGGCCTCGGGCAAACTGGTGTTGCTGTCGAAAATGCTGAAGAAGCTCCGCGAACAAGGCCACCGCGTGCTGATCTTCTCCCAAATGACGAAGATGTTGGACATTCTGGAAGACTTCCTCGAAGGCGAAGGATACAAGTACGAACGCATCGACGGCGCCATAACGGGAGGCCTGCGACAGGAAGCCATCGATAGATTCAACGCGCCCGGCGCTCCGCAATTCGTCTTTTTGCTGTCTACGAGGGCCGGAGGTTTGGGTATCAATTTAGCCACCGCCGATACTGTGATTATTTACGATTCCGATTGGAATCCCCACAACGACATCCAAGTAATTACATGAGTGGTATACGAAGCGTACGAGTATTTAAACATATTTTTTTAGGCGTTCTCTCGAGCCCATCGTATCGGACAAGCCAACAAGGTTATGATCTACCGTTTCGTGACGAGAAACAGCGTGGAGGAACGCGTCACGCAAGTGGCCAAACGGAAGATGATGTTGACCCATTTGGTGGTGCGACCGGGAATGGGCGGTAAAGGTACCAACTTCACCAAGCAAGAACTCGACGACATTCTGCGGTTCGGTACCGAGGAACTGTTCAAAGAAAGCGAAGGTAAATCACGCTCGATTCTCTTAACACGCGGATCACTAATTGTAACCGTAACAGGCAAAGAGGACGAGGCCATTCACTACGACGACAAGGCGGTGAGCGAGCTGTTGGATCGCAGCAAAGAGGGCATCGAACAGAAGGAAAGCTGGGCCAACGAGTACCTCAGCTCGTTCAAAGTGGCCAGTTACGTAACGAAGGAGGGCGAAACCGAGGAAGAAGTCGACACGGAGATTATCAAGCAGGAAGCCGAAAACACCGATCCGGCCTATTGGATCAAATTGCTCAGGCACCACTACGAACAACAACAAGAGGACATCGCAAGGACTTTAGGTACATCGGTATAATGTGCCGGTTACGCTTGTATTATAACGCAATTTATTGATGTAGGTAAAGGTAAGCGAGTAAGGAAACAGGTGAATTACAACGATGGCGGTATGACGACGGACACGAGAGAGGACACCACTTGGCAGGAAAACTTGTCCGATTACCATTCGGACTTCTCCGCCGGATCCGATGAGGATAAAGAAGACGATGATTTCGACGAGAAGAACGACGCGGATCTTAGCAGGTTTGTTGTTAATTGCACTACAGATTATCAAATGGAGCATCTTTTCTGTAACTCGACGGTGTTTTTTTTTTAGGAGAAGCCGCAGGAAGATGGAGCGCAAAGACGAAAAGGACCGGCCGTTGCCGCCGCTTTTGGCCAGGGTCGGCGGTAACATCGAAGTGCTGGGCTTCAATTCGCGACAACGAAAGGCGTTCCTCAACGCCATCATGCGCTACGGGATGCCGCCGCAGGACGCTTTCAACTCGCAATGGTTGGTGAGAGATCTCCGAGGGAAATCGGAGAAAATCTTCAAGGCCTACGTGTCGTTGTTTATGAGGCATCTGTGCGAACCGGGCGCCGATAACGCCGATACGTTCGCCGACGGCGTACCCAGAGAAGGCCTCAGTAGGTTAGTATTTCTGAATTTTTTTTCCAACATCCAGATTGTAATCGATATCTCTATAGGCAACACGTTCTAACGCGCATCGGCGTGATGTCGCTGATACGAAAGAAGGTACAAGAATTCGAGCACATAAACGGCGAATACAGCATGCCCGAGGTGATCAAGAAGAGCATAATGGATCAAAACAAATCCAGTTCGACGCCTACGGAAGTGGAAACGCCGAAAAGCACCACGACTAGCACCAGCGCAACGCCCGCTACTAGCGCGGCTCCGAGTCCCGCTCCCAATCAAGCCGAAGACAAAGATAAAGAGGAGAAACCCGCCGAGGAACCTAAAGATAAAGACGTTAAAGCTGAAGCCGAGGACGTCGCCGAGAAAGATAAGGAAAAGGTGAAGGAGGAAGTGGACGATGCGAAGGAATCGTCTCCGAAAACCGAAACGCCCGAACCCTCTTTGGAAGCGGACAAATCCGAAATAAAATCCGAGGTCGATTCGTTGTCCGTTACGAGCGAAGATAAGAAAGAGGATAAAGAAGACGACGTCAAGATGGAGGAGACCGTCTTAGAACCCAAGGAAGAACCTAAAGAAGAATCCGCTACCGACGAAGTAGAAGAAGTCAAGAAGGAGGAAAAAGTCGAGAAGAAAGAGGAGAAACCCAAAGCGGAGAAGAAGGATAAGGACGAAGACGAAGTAATGGTGATCGAAACCGACGAACCCAAAGAGAAAGACAAGAAAAAAGAAATCGATTTGGAGGCCAAGAAACGGTTCATGTTCAACATCGCCGACGGCGGTTTCACCGAGTTGCACACGCTGTGGTTGAACGAGGAAAAGGCCGCTTCGCCCGGTCGCGAATACGAAATCTGGCACCGCCGTCACGATTATTGGCTGCTCGCCGGCATCGTTACGCACGGCTACGGCAGATGGCAAGACATACAGGCCGACGCTCGATTCGCCATTATCAACGAACCGTTCAAAATGGACGTGGGCAAGGGTAATTTCTTGGAAATCAAGAATAAATTCCTCGCTAGACGATTCAAGGTTCGTTTCTAACGTTGTGTTTTTCTTTTTTGTAAGAGTAATTTTTAATCGAAAATTTTAGTTGTTGGAACAAGCTCTGGTTATCGAAGAGCAACTACGCCGTGCTGCTTACTTAAATCTCACGCAGGATCCCAATCATCCTGCTATGTCGTTGAACGCTAGATTCGCCGAGGTGGAATGCTTGGCGGAGTCTCATCAACATCTCAGCAAGGAATCGTTGGCTGGTAACAAACCGGCTAATGCCGTTCTGCATAAGGTACGTGATATTACTTGAAAAATTTGTAAAGGGATTTTAGTGAACGAACCGATTTGTTTTGCAGGTGCTAAATCAATTGGAAGAGTTGTTATCGGATATGAAATCCGACGTTTCGAGGCTACCGGCTACCCTCGCAAGAATACCACCAGTAGCCCAGAGATTGCAGATGTCCGAAAGGAGTATATTATCCAGACTAGCGGCGACATCTTCCTCTAGCAATCAATCGACAAGTAAGGATTTTTATCGAAAGGTTTGCGTAGTATAATTGATTGTATTTTTTAACTTTTAGCTCAAGTAATGAGCCAATTTCCGGCCGGTTTCAACGCCGGCAATTTGCCTGGATTCGCGGGAGCCACAGCGAACTTTTCGAACTTCAGACCGCAATACTCCGTTCCCGGTCAACCGCCCGCGGGATTCCCTTCATAATATTCAATCTTCTAAAATCGCGAAATAGCTCAAATCTCTAAATTAATTTATTGTACGTTTACTTTTTTTTTTCAATTGTGGTTATTTATTTTGATGTGCAGGTACGTTTTGAAAACTCTTATGTATAATTTAAGAGAAACTGGTTGATCTCCATGTCGATTTTTTTCTGAAATGATATATTTTATCGTAGATGAACATTCGAAATTTTGCGAATTTGAGAAAAATCGACGTCGATTCACGACATTAAGTAATTACAACGTTATTTCATGTAATTTATGAGGGCATGTTTCACGTATTGCCAGGTATACAGTACACAGTAAATTGGTGATAAAATATTATGTATCCATGCAAATTTCATATTTCTTTTCACTAAGTAGGAACGAATAGCCCTTGTACGTGTATATTATTGGTTCTTTCTAGGCAGAAAGTATTAGTATGTTTAAAAGTTTTTTTTTATAAAATTAAGTTCTAATTTAGCAATAAAGATGTATAAAAACCAAAGACTAGTAGTTTAAAATTACGAGATGATGAGACGCAACTAAATAACTTAAAGAAACTTCTATTTTATAGACCTTACAGGATATAACAGTAAATTCCATTTAAAAGTATCAATATTGCTAACAAATTTATCCGAATTTTCCTCGCCATTTTTTATACCATCGCTTAGAATATTTAATTTAACCGGATTCCCGACCACGTTACCTTCGCAACACTCCTTCGCCCTTTTCAAACTATGCCCGACCACTTGTATACTCAATTTCCTATAATTCTCCTTCCCTTCGAACCGGTTCTGCTTGTTCCACCAGCACTTCAGCTCGTCCAAAGTCACCGTCCTGATGGACTCGATCTCGCGCTTGATCCTGTCGAACACGTAATCGTCGTTGACGATCTCCGACCAGTTCCTGTCGACCTCCTCCTTCAAGTACACGTCGCTGATCTCCTTGGTCTTGATGATGTCCTCCTTCAGCGACTCCCAGCTCTCCTTGTCCATGTCCAAGAGGGCCGGCGTGGTCTTCAAGAAGTGCTCGATCCTCTCGTCCAAGTGCTGCGTGGTGAATTTATCGACTTGGGATACGACCGTTATCGAGAAGCCCAAGATGCCGTACGTGTCTCGAGCCGTGCAGTACACGTGGTAGCCCAGTTGCTCTTTGGTTCGCAGGATGTTGAACAGGGGCTCCTCGATTATGTACATCAGCATGTCGATTAAGGCGTCGGTTTTGAACGAGAACTGGCCGACTTGGTGGTAGTTGGTCGTTATGGAGTTGGAGTCGTTCTTGTTGAAGGATTCTACTAGTAGGTATTTTTCTCCTAGTGGTATTTGCGATATGAGAAACAAAGGGTAGTGCTCCTTGGGCAGCGGGGAATAGTGGAAATCTTGTACGAATTTTTGCACGGTTTCCAATGCGACTTCTTGATTCACGTTGCCTTGCACTAACACTTTTAGGTATAGCTCTTTTTTAAAATTTTCTATGAATTTTGTGGTATCTTCGAACGTTACGTTTAGTAATTCCAGGTATTTATCTTCGGACATCCAATAGTTATTCATTAGTATTTTCAAGCGCAATTCTTTAGCTAAATTCGTTGGCTTCAGTAGTTTGTTAAATTGGTGTTTTTGGATGGTCTCTTTAACAGCTTTAAACATGTCTTCGTTAATGAAACTGTTCAAATCTTTCAAGTATTTTACTATAACGTCTATTAAATTAGGTATTTTCTCATTGAAACCCCATATTTTAATGACCATACCGTTTTCAACTACATTGAAACTATGAGTTATATTAGCTATAGTGGCTGGATACACCTCTTCGGTCATCGCAAAAGACAATAAATTCATCATTAAATCTAACAATACGGAATTCTTCGCCGTTTTAGTACTATCCCCGCTAATCAGGTAAAAATAATACATAGCCGTCGGTAACTTGAACTTTTGGTCCTTCCTGTACCACAACTCGCACTCCGACGTTTCCAACAATTTCTCCGGATAATCCGGATGCTTCGGCTCGTCCGGTAGAATCGAGAAATTATCCGTTAGAAACGGATTCATCGGCGGAACGTTCAGTTCCGGATAAGGCTCCACGTCCAGCCACTTTTTCATAACGGCTTCGGGAATAGTCACGTCCACGTACTCGGTCCCGAACCACTTTTCGGTTCTATCGAACACAACACCCTCGGGCAAGTCTTTCGTGGTCACCATAACGTTCAATTTCCTCGGCGTTAGGTGCTCCATTACCATCATTATCGCCTGAGGATCGAACTCGTAGTACAACTCGGAACCCGCCATGTAGTCTTCGGGTGGATACAGCTGCATCGATTCGCTCAACGATTCTACCTACAAGATAAAATTTAGTATAAAATGCGCTATTATACAACAATTTAAAAGGTTTATTTACATTGTTCAGCGGAGTATCCTCAGTGGCGAATCTAAACGACGTGTTGCTGATTAATTTAATCTCATCGAACAGCCTCCTTTGAGGGCCCACTTTCTTGATTAGACTTATGTAGGAGAAAACGGCTTCGATGACTTCGTGCAAATGCTTGAGGCCTTCATCGGTCAGTGTTAAAGACATGCTGAATAAAGCGTACATGGTATTGTGCTCGCTGTCCGATTCCTCGTTACCAGCTTGCGCGGAAATCGCCCACATTCTTCTTTTCAAATAGGATAACAAACTACCTAAAAATTAACTATTAATTACAAGTAAATCGTTTTTTGGTGGCACAAACCTTTTCCCTCGTCTCCGAGTAGGTAGGAAACGTACTGCATCGGTTTGCTGCGATATTTATGCAACAACGATGGCAAACACCACGTTAACTCCAATTTTATCAGTTCCTTTACGGGTTTTATGTAGTATATTTTATTAAACGCCGGAGTATCGAACACATCGTTGGCATAAGCGCTGAAGTCGTCTTTTTTCAACCTGTTATTCGGCACATTCGAGAAACAATCTATAACTAATTCTTCTAAAGTATCCAAAGGCATTCGCGCTTGTATAGCTAAAGTCATCCGATGAGCCGAGTAGTGCCTTTTCCTAAATTTGTGAACCCCATCGTACAGTTTGTTGTCCGGAATGTTGTCCCTTAGAGTCTGCAAATTGCCCCAACCGAACGAGTTCACCGGAGAGTTCGATTTAGCCAAACTGAAGAGGAGCTGCTCCTTTCTGGAGGAATCTGAAGGCAAGGCCATCTGGAACTCCGAATCGATAGCTTCTCTTTCCCTCGTCATCGCCCCCTTCTTCATCAGCGGCTCGATGAAGAACTGCGAGAACTTGTCCAGCGCGAGGGGAAGGTGCTTCTCGAGGACTTCGAAGTTGAAACAAGTGTGCTCCATATCGGTGGAGGCGTTGTTGCTACCGCCGCCTGGAATTAATCGGTTAATAATCGCAATCGCATTGCTCGCCGGGGCTCGTTACTTTTTTTAATAAACGCGTCGAAATCGTTCTCCTCGGGGTACTTTTCGCTGCCCATGAACACCATGTGCTCGAGGAAATGGGCCATTCCCGGCACGTCGGCGGGATCGCTGAAGCTGCCGACTCCCACGCACAAGGCCGCGGCGGCCATTTTCTCTTCGTTGATTTCCTTCTCGTCCGAGGAGGTATCCATGCTCTCCGATCCGGAGGCCGAATTGAAGCTCGACTCCGATTCATCATCGCTAGTTGTATCTTCCTCGTTATCGTCATCGCTCTCGTTCAAGTTCGCTAGAATTGACAACGGGGACAGATCGGATACGAGACAGGCCACTAGCTCGTTCTCCAATTTGATCACTCGATATTCCTTCTTGTCGCTCTCGCTTTTTATGGGGAGCGGCAGCAATTCGCACTTCTTCTGCGCGGCGCTCATCGTGAAATCGCTCTTTTTATACCTGAATGACTTACGACTGGAATTTAAACCCAACAAACGTGAAAATGTGCTGAAATAATTGCGCAGTTTCGAATTCAATTTCATTTGGTTCCTCCTTATCTGTCGTCTACGATCGACTCCGAATGGTTACTCGTCGGTGCATGATACATCGATGTCGTTCGGTAATTCCATTCGAAATTGAAATTATTTAGTTTTCGGTTGCCGAGACATTGACATAACCACAAATTTTGACCATATTGGGAAGGTTAAGTTAGTCTTCTTTTTATTACTAATTCATTCACAAAAAAATATGAATTTTGACATTTATAAACTTTTACTATTGGGTTATTCAGCGACTAAATTTGACGTAAAATTGACGCAAATAGGCAACCACCATTTCGAAATAGTGTATTGTGTGTATTGTGTCTAATACTCATAAAAAATTCATATGAATAAAAATCATATTTAGGACGCTTTTACATTCATACATACCCAAATAAAACTGTTAATTAACCATTATAAATACATTAAATTGCATCAAAAATGTTTTTATTTACCTTCATACTGAAATAACATTAACATGGGGAATGGAGAATGTTTCCCTAAATTATCGATTTCTAGTAAACGATAGCGTAATAACGAAACTCGGGAAAACCGGTCAAGGTTAGACTCGTTTCGTTTCATTCGGCTCGTGTTTGTAACGGTTTCAATCCAGTCTCATCCGCGAAATTCGCAATGAATTCCAGTGGAGATTTCGATGTGTTAGAAACACCCATTAAAAGTGAAAGCGACAAGAAGATATACAAAGTGATCAAATTAAAAAACGAATTAGTGGCTTGCATAATATCCGATCCAAGCAGCAACTCGCCTCAGGGAACCAACAACGCACCTCAAAATGACAACAACGGACCTGAAGACATAAACCAGAATAAAGACGAGAAGAAAGCGGCAGCAATGCTCAGCATAAACGTAGGCAGCTTCAGCGATCCCGAAGAAGTCCAAGGACTGGCCCATTTCTTAGGTAAATACCCACAATTTTCCTATCTCTTAATACTAACGAGCAGCACCGGCTTGTTCCAGAGCACATGGTCTTCATGGGCAGCGAGAAGTACCCCACCGAGAACGACTTCAGCTCGTTCGTGTCGAAGCGCGGCGGCAGCTACAACGCCTTCACCGAGTCGGAGCGCACCTGCTTCTACTTCGACTGCCTGGAGAAGCACCTGAAGGAGACCCTCGACCGGTTCGCGCAGTTCTTCATCGGCCCGCTGCTCCTGAAGGACTCGATGACGCGCGAAAGGGAGGCCGTCGACTCGGAGTTCCAGATGGCCTCGGTGTGCGACTACGTCCGCAAGAACCAGATAATCCTCGGCCTCGCCGAGGAAGGCTCGCCGGTCAGGAAATTCGCCTGCGGGAATCTCAAGACGCTGAAAAGCGGCGTGGGCGACGACGAGCTGCGCGAGATCACCGAACGGTTCAGGGCGAGGCATTACTCGTCTAACAGGATGGCTTTTGCTATACAATCGCGGTTGACTGTCGAGGAATTGCAGGAGTTGATCGTTGAAATCTTCACCGCCGTGCCGAACAACGGCCTGCCCAAGCTCGATTTTGAATGTTCCGGGGACGTGTTCGACACTCCCGCCTTCAACAGAATCTACTACATGAAGCCCATCGACGAGCAGATCGAGCTGTGCTTGACTTGGAGAATACCGAATCTCTACGAGAAGTACAAAACTAAAACGCAATATTATTTCCAGTATATATTAGGCGATGAAGGCACGGGTAGCCTGTTGAGCTACTTGAAGAAACGCGTTTGGGCCACTTCTTTGTACTCCTTCGGCGAAGACAACTCGATTTACACCTCGCTAGGCGTTATAGTCCAACTAACAGAGGAAGGCTGCAGGCACGTGTTCGATATAATCGAAGCGATTTTTTCGTACGCGAAGCTCGTAAGAGACGCCGGACCCGTGGAGTACATCCACGAAGATATAAAGACGGTGCGGGACGCGTCGTTTCGATTCTCTTGCGAAGAATCATCGTTAAATACGGTGCTCGAGTTGGAGGAAGCGATGCATCGATACCCGCCCGAGCTGTTCCTCACCGGCTCGAAAATCCACTACGATTTCGATCCCGACGAAATCGCTTCGGTGAGCGAACGCCTAACCGTCGATTACGCCAACATATTCATAACCAACAAACACCTGCCCGATGGTTTGCAGTTCGATAAGACGGAGAAGTGGTGTCGCACCGAATACACCGACGTGCCTATACCCGAAGACCTCATCGACAAATGCCGAGCGATCGAGCCCTTCGAGGAGTTCTCCATTCCCCCGTCGAACCCCTACATCGTCCACAACTTCGCGATAGTACCGGAGGAGCCCGACCATCCCGAGTACCCGCGGCGGATCGTCGGCGACGACAGGCTGGAATTGTGGTACAGGAGAGATCAAAAATTCAAGCTGCCCTTCGCTTACTACAACATCTCCATGCGATCTTCGTATTTCGCCGAATCGGCCAAGAACGCGGTGTTGGGCGAGCTGTTCACCGATCTGCTGAGCTACTATCTGAACGAGGAAACCTACCAGGCCAGGCAGGCCGAGCTGAGCCAAACCGTTTACTTCGACGATGCTTCGATCACCGTCACGGTGGAGGGATTCAACGAGAAACTGCCCGTGCTAATCGACGTCATAACGAAGTATTTCAGCGAAATACGCAGCTATATCAGCGAGAAGACGTTTTCGGAGTTGAAGGAGGAGATGATGAAGACGGAATACAACGCTTTCAAGTCACCAGCCGGTTTAAACGCCGTGGTTTTCCGTAAAATTTACAACAAAACCTACTGGACTTGCTTGGATAAATACAACGAATTACTAAACATCAATTACGAAGACCTCTTGAACTTCATCGATACCTTCAAAGAGGAATTATATTTGAAGGTTCTGATACAAGGAAACGTGCTACCGGAGGTAGCGATCGATACGGTGAACGCCCTAGCAGAATCGCTCCGATTCGATCCTTTACCGGACGCCAAACTACCCAGCACCATCGTCAACAAACTCCCCATTGGAGAAAAATGCGTTCTGCTCGAATCCTTCGACAAATCCAACCCGAACTCCGACATCCAAAACTACTACCAAGTCGGCGAGTACCGGCTCAAAGACAGCGTCATCTTGGACCTGATCATGATGGTGCTCGAAGAGCCGGCCTTCGACGCTCTGCGCACCAAAGAGCAGCTCGGTTACAGCGTCTACTGCGGCTCCAGCACCATGGACGGGATCCTGGTGTTCTTCGTGTCGGTCACCACGCAGGCGCACAAGTTCACCACCGAGCACGTCGACGAGAGGATCGAGGCCTTCATCAGAGGCTCCCAGTCGATCCTGGAGGGGACCAGTGAGGAGGAGTTCCGGCGTGTCAGGGAGGATTACGTGAAGACGAAGGAGTGCGTGGACGTGCACCTGGCGCACGAGGTGTGGAGGAACTGGGACGAAATCGACGAGAGCGACTACGTGTTCGACAGGCAGAAGCGGGAGATTCGAGCCGCTGAAGAGGTGACTTGGGAGGAGGTGAAGCGATGGTGGCGTAGGCACAACCATTTCGGGGATAAGGAGAATTTCCGGAAGGTGTCGGTGCAGGTTAGGGGGCACGTGCAGGACGAGGAAGGGAAGACAACGGTTGTTGATGAGTTGTATGGGAAACCGGTTTCGTTGGTTTGCTTGAGTGGTAAAGAGCGCGAGGGTGTTGAATATTTCGTTCGAAATATCGATGAATTTAAGGAACGCTTGGAGAATTACCCGCCTAAAGTAATGAAAAAATGCATTTAAATTATGCATAATGTTGTAACTATTATTTTATAACACGCGCTAAGTACACAGTATTTTTACTCAAATTTTATTATAAAAACGATTATTTCTGTGATATATTACTGTTATTTTTAGAACACAATATTTTTATAAGTATTATTTATAACGCTTGAAGTGCTGTGACAAATTGTTGAAAAAATTATCGTGAATTTGTACAAGTTTTATGTGTGAAAAGTCTTGTGATTTCACTTAAATAACACAATGAAATAAAAATTAAATGATATTGTTAACTATTACTTACGTGCTATTACCCGAACGTAATTTTTTTTAACACTTTAAAGTACTAGATTCTTTATTTTTAGTACACTAACTGATTCACCCTGTATATTATCATGCAATCGAACTACTGTCGCTTTGATAGATCAATCCCTAGCTAACTTCGTACATCAGATTATTTTGTTAAATTTTCTGTCAAACGTCATATTTCTTGACTTCTTGTTTGTTATTTTCTTGTTCTGTGATTGCGTTAAAGAATGAAATGAATAAGAAAATATGGCAAAGTAAACAACATGGCGTATGTGTTGTCTGATAATGATTTTTCGGATTCTTCCCAATTTTCGGTAAATTGGGAAGAGCATTACAATGACAAAAATGATAAAGCAGATATTCCAATACCTCAATACCAAAAGACTACAAATTTAGCCCAAAACATATTAAATAGACAGGTAAAAAAGTTTATAACCTCGAAATTTTATGTGTAAATGATGTTGTTTTGAATTATATTTTTAGTTATTCGGTAGATTTGCTAAGAATCCTAGAGCAAAGACTGAAAGAGTATTCAATACTATCCACGCGAATTGTAAATTCGATTTATATTCTTTGATAGAAAACGTTGATTCGCTGTGAGTAAAAGTACATTTAAAAATTAAATTACCCCTTAACAATCCTGTATAATTCCAGCAATCACATTTATATGGGCTTCACAATGTGCGGCCGGTATTTTGTAAGTTATACGGAAAAAATAAGCGAAGACCCGGGCTCGATGAGCTTCACATCGTCGGAATACGAGCTATACCTGTGGAGATTCTGTCCCGGAAAGAGACTTAGGTTTATATCGAAGCACAAAATATTCAAGCATTTAAAAGACTTCAACATACTAAATAAGGTTAAATTCATGCAATTTCCCGGGGATTTGTATAAATTAGTGTGCTACTGTTTATCGTAAGTATTTAAAAGTTTTATAATGAATTGTTTTTTGTAACTAAGGCGTTTATTTTAGTACTAACAATCCAGATTTAATATACGTAACGATTTTAACGTTGCCAGCGCCCGAGAATAATTGCAGGCATTGTAACAACATTTTCTCGAACACTGACGGTATGTTAACCTCACAGTTCTCGAAAGCGATTTAACAACATAAAATTTCCAGAATCGGTGAACCAAGGTTGGTGCAACAAGCACGGCTTCATCGTCCATTTTTTATTCTCGATGGCCCAACCGACTCCTGTATTCGATCCGAGCATCTCCCTAGCCTACCCCAATCATTTAGTCATAAACACCGGCCATCACATACACATCCTAAACGTAACGACATCCGAGCCGCCCCAGATACCAATATCCTTATTGAATCTATCGAAAGATGATGATACGATGATTAAAGTAGCGAATAATACCCCCACGCACACGTTCAACGATACTTTGAGCGAGTTATCCGAATCGGCCAGTGAACACTTCGGTTCGAGCAGTTTAGTCGATGCTATATTAGAAGATTTCAGCGAATACGATTTGGAATCGAACGAATGCAACAAACCTTTCCACGAATTGAACATCAGCTGCGAACCGTTGAACGTAACGGGCAAAAGTTACCACAACACTTTAGTGCAGAACATAGTCGATCCGCGAGTGAAGCGATTGCAAGGCAACAGCAAAGACTACCTGTTCTCGGTACCGCAATGCTCCAGCGCGCAGAAGACGCTCGAGAAGACGAAAATCGCCGAGAAGGCGTACGAGTTCATCGAAGAGAACGAAAAGTACGAGAAAATCAGCTCGTTTCGCAAGAAACGCCTGGCCGAGAAGAAGTACGAATTCTCGGAGGACAACAGCGAGAACATCGTGCCGTTCAATTCGCTGCGCCGCGACCGCCGCTACCTGTACAAGTCGCAGGGCCGTTGCATCCGATCGCCCGACTTCAATTCGATCTTCCTCAGTCCGCGCTCGAGCAGCATCCGCTCGCCCGCGCAGTCGCCCAAGTCGCGCAACGGCCAGTTCTCGCCGAGCGGGGCGCGCAATCTCTACTGCCCGTCGTTGCGCAACTCGCCGCATCACTCGAAGTCGCCCATCAGCCCGAGGGAGAGCGCCCGGAAGTTCTACGTGTACTCGCCGAGCCTGGACAGCGACTGCTCCGATTCGGACTCGAGGCTGATCATGCGGACGGCTTGGGGCGCTGGTTCGGGCGAGAGGAACACGGGATTGTTGATCGTGGATCCCAAATCGGAGGCGCCCAAGTGGATCAAGAGGATCGTGAGGAGGTATTCGAACGGGGATTTCGAGAACGGTAGTTTGGTGTCGGGGCAAAGTAGAGGTGAGTACACGTTTTAATGTTGTTTATTCGATTAGCGAATCGTGTTGTTGATTTTTTTTTTAGATGATTTTAATATACCGATCGAGATACCGTTGTTGGTGCAGAATTTGATCGAGCAACAATTGGATGTTATACCGGATTTTAAGGCTGATCAAACGGCGGAGACGCAGTTGTTGGTTACGCAAAGATCGTTCGATTGCGAGATGTTTGTTCAACGTACAGCACAGAAATTGTGCGCTGAAGTCCAATTGGATTTCGTGTATTGCGAAGACTATGATATTAGAATATTATACGTAAGTGGGAAGGTTATATTTATCGATGTGTTTTGATTGTTGGTGTTTTTTTTTAGATTTGTCCGATAAACGGCCATATAATTTGCCATGTTCTGATTAAATTAGGCGCTCGAAAGGGTTCCGATATGCGATTGGAGCACTACAAAACGAATTTTCTCTTCACGTGGAGCATCGACAACGACGCCTTTAACGTTATCGATAACAAACCATGCAAGTTGTTACCGATCGATGTGCCTCTGGATTATCCGGAATTCGATATTCCTAAGTGAGTATTCAAAAAAAAATGCTTTATTCTTTTACACGAGTCAATGTTGTTTCAGAAGTAGCGAAGTTCTCGACATGGATTATACCTCGACATCGAAGCGAGTACTCAGGGATTACGATAAATATTTTGAAATTTGTTTAGAATTAAGTAACTCGTCCGATCAGATATTTGATCAAGAATACTCGAGCGAAAGCGATTGAATTTCGCGGTGTTATGTCCATTAAATGTTTGTGTACCTAAGTAATTGTCTGTGGATGAGTTGAAGTCGGAGGGCTATTAATTTTCGAGTTGTTTTGAATATGGAATGCAATTTGTTTAGCGATAGGTTATTATTGGTTTTCAGAACAGAAAGTAATTTATAAAGACTTAAGTATTGATTTATATTGAATATGGATCGGTCATGATTTTCTGAGAACTAATAACAGTCGTACAACATTTAAGGAACTAGTACTGTAATAGGTCTACTTTAATATTTAAAATGGTTGGACCTATTTGAGAAATGTGTACTAAATGGACTACCATTAATGTTTAGTTTCACACAAGACTAATTACAAAACCGCTAATTTATTGAATTTTTTAATCTTTTAGTTACGTTAAAAGATATATGTAGTAATAAGTTGGACTGTGATTTTACCAATTGTGAAGTTTTGAAAATAAGTATTTTGATTCCTAAAACATAGTTTTATTTATCACTCCACAACATTTTATAAATTAGTCTTTTTTCGTGTCAATTTTCGTTTTTTTATCTTCCATATTGTTCACTTTGGGCCCCACCGATACATTTTCATTATTAGCCATTTGTCGACCTTTCTCTTGTAATGCTTCGATTTCCTCCGGAGTCATGTCTTTTAAAAGAATCGAACTCAACGTGCCGGTTGCTATTCCGAGTATTTCACTCCGCTGATTCATGCTCGCATTGGGGAACCTTATGAACGATTCTCTCACGTACGGAATGTGCATTAATCTACCTATATTCATTCGGCGCCTTTTGCCTGATAGGCCTCCGCTTCTAAACAGCTGCAATTCCCACTGTCTCAAAGTTTTGTTTTCCGGAAGGGCCAATCTAAATCGCACGTAAAAATTGACCTTTAGCTGTTCGTAGGTCATGCCGGTGTAGTGCCTTTCGTGATACCAAACGGCCGCCACGATTTTCTGTTCTTTTGTGTAATTTTTCATACCGTAACCATGTTTTCGAGGACGACCCGTCTTCGATGTCCGATGCGGCTCTTCCATTTTTTTTAAAGAAAAAATCAAAATATTATTGTATTTCTTTGTTCTTTACATACTCTTTTCATCCAGTTTGGCTTAAAGGCATTTTATTCATCACATAATTGTAAATGTTTACGTTTTTGAAATATAAGGTTATTATTTACTTCTTTTTTACTTTTGACACTAGAGCAATTGAACTAAATATGACAGAACGTCAAATATGTTCCAAATAATGGCTGTTTGTAGCGAACTGTAAAAGACCATTTGGAGAAAGTAAAATTAATTTATTCTTTACGCTACTTTAAACGTAAAATAATCCTTGTTGGACTTGTATCTAGCAACAAAAGTTTATTTCAACTCTATCTGTTTAGTATCTTCACTATCTTCAGTATCATTCACTTCACTTTTATCGTCTTTTGAACTCTGTCCTTTCTTCTTTAACAACTCGATCTCTTCTGTAGTAAAGTCTAGTTTAATGATCCTTCTGAGAGTGTTAATCGCCAGTCCCAGCATATCGCTCCTCTGGATCACAGTTAAATCAGGAAACTTGACAAACGACTCTTTTATGTAAGGCACGTACATCAACCGATCCAAACTGCATTTCCTCTTTTTATCTCTACTGACGTTTTCGAACAACTTCATGGACCATTTCCAAATGAGACCGCGAGTCGGCGGCCTCGACTTGAACCTCTCCTGGAAGTTGATTTTTAACTGCTCGTAGGTCATGCCGGTGTAATGTCTTTCGTGGAACCAGACGCTGGCGACGATTTTCTGTTCTCTCGTGTACTTTTGTTTAACGAAATACTTCAGTTTTTTGCGACTCGGGTTTTCCATTTAAGCGTTTTTCGTTATCACACTAAAATAATATAAATTATTTTTGTTTACTTAATCATTCGATTAAGTTAGGTTATGTATATATAACATTCTTCTTTTTTTACTAATTATTGAATTGTCAAACTGTCAAATTTTGTTAATTTGATTTACATTTCCGAAATTTATTATCTACTCCTTGATAAACATAAGGGTGAAATAGGTTTAATTATTTACTGAAAATATAGCACAATTGTAACAAAGCAAAAACAACAATTCTTTGATTATTTTTATAAGCGAAATGGAGATGCGTAAAAGTCCCTTGACAGCTGACGGTTATTAATTGGCCTCTTTCCTCGGTTCCCGTCCTGTTCAGTTCCTGAGCTAACGTTATATCAATATTTTATATAATTGTTAATCCTTTGCAATACTTGTTGCTTTACGTCCACTTAACAATAAACTTTCCAAGTCACTGCTTATTATTATCTTCAGTATCACTTGTACAGGCACTTTGTTCCACATTGTTCGAACACTGTCCGGATTTCACCAACAGTTCAATTTCTTCCCGAGTAAAGTGATGCTTTAAGATCTGGCCCAACGTGTCGTTCGCTATGCCGAGCATATCGCTCCTCTGCTTCACGCTCAAATTCGGATGCCTCATCAGAGACTCTCTAACGTAGGGCACGTACACCATCCTCTCCAATTTGGGCCTGTAGCGTTTCCTGCCGTAATTGAACAACTTATTCTCCCACTTTCCTATGACCGAACGGTTCGGGGGCGTCTTCTTGAACCGCTCCCGGAAATTAATCTGCAACTGTTCGAAAGTCATGCCAGTGTAATGCCTTTCGTGAAACCACACGCCGCCTACGATTTTCTGCTCCCTCGTATACGCGTCTTTCACGAAATAACACCGCTTTTTACGAGGTTGCTCTTCCATTAGGGATGTTTATAAAAAATTGGTTTTTGGTTTGTTGTTGATAAAAGTTGGGTTATGTTTTGATGTAAATTAGTAAATTCCTGTCGAAATGTCAAAATAAATACATGTAGTTCACTCATAGATGGCGCTTATTGTTAGTTCTTTAGTGAGAAGGATAGCGATAGTTTGTTTTCTAACTTACGTGAGTCCTGACGGAAGGATTCCTCTGCTTTGGGGAAGATAAAAATTAGTTTTATTGTTTTCCTTCTAATGGGTTAAGATAGAAACTAGAAATTGAACTAAAGAATATTTGTACTGGTTCTTTACAAAATTTATTACAAATTTATTAGTAGTATTTTTTAGGAACTACTTATTTGAGCGAATTAAATATCCAGAACTCAATCCAAAAACCCAAACCGACAAACTTTCCCAATTCATCGGAAACCCCCCTAAAAAAAGTCCCTCGGGATGGCGTCCGAAAATAGAATTCCTCCAGATTTTAATTGGGTTAAAAACGCCCCGGCGTCCGGCTCCCGAAAGCGCTCGGCTCGTCAATAAGAAAACCTCTTCTCGGCCGCCGCCGCCGCCGTCGCCCCCGCCCCCGCCCCTTCGGCCCTCCTTCAGGAGCGCTCCGGAGGCGCCGGGACGGCCGCGGCGCACGCGTCGGTTTTCCTCCTCGATTTTCCCTGCCGGCCCGTCGACTCGCGTACCGTCGTGCGATCTCGAGCAGGGAGGGGGCCGGTGCCAGAAAAGCCAACGGGGTCGCGTCGAAACTCCGCACCGATAACGGACATTTCAACCGTATTTTCGCTTAATTAGAGGATAATTAGGATGCGATTGGGGCGCGGAAGGCTCGGTTAAGGCCCGTCCAAGTGGCTCGAATTCGATTTCGAGGCGATTCCGCGGCGCACCTCGGGGGGTTTCCATCGCCATTTTCGCCGTCCGCCCGCGGGTCGTTCGGGTGGTTCCACGGCGGTTCGTTACGCGGAAATCGTTCCGGAAAAAGTGCCAGGTGCTCGAGTGTTTTTTTTTGTTTTGTACCTGTGGCGAAACGGGGGCGATCGCGGTTGTGGTTGTAGCGCCGTAGCCCACATTCGGACCCGAGTGGAAATATTGATTGACGAGCGGCGTGTGTACTATACATCTTACAAATCCCGTTGATAAAATTCGGTGGAAATGCAACGCTTTCGGCTCGGTCTTCAGTACGGGAAATTCTTCAATAAATTATTTAAAAATAGGTGATTATGAATGTATACAGGTAAGTTATGCATATATAAGTTGCGTGATTTTAAATAGGGGAAACTTTATTCTGCGAGGCAGTGAACTCTAGTAGAGCGAGTACGGGATAATATCGATTAATGTTTATCATTATGAGCGTAGTGTGTAAACGGAAAAACGATGAAGGACTCCGCCACTTCACATTTTGATTCATTAAAACCATTCGTGAATCGACAATTAATGCTAAATGTAAGGCGGGTTATTTCGTCATTACGTTCGTAATTACTTGCATTTTTCGATGAAATTACTAAAAATTACCAAAAATCTTTAATTTAGTAGATAATTTTTTTCTTCATAAAATTAACAGGATAAAAATCCTGCACCACACTCTACATTGCAATGCTATAAGGATACTAGAAATCCTTTCAGATAACTCGATCCTATTTTACAATATCTTATTCTAATATACAGGTAGATGCAGAATTGTTTGCTATATAGGCAACGGGTGCAACAAAGACAACTTCTAATAGCCTCATATAAAGAAATAGGAAACATTAATTACAACTTTCTCACTCTAACCACTGTAATTTTAACAATCCCTCTTTATTCAACGCATAGAATTGACCATATATCGCAAACAACCTTGCAGATACCCATATATCACAATCTTCATTAACCCCGTACGATGTACGAGTATATATTAAAATCAATTCCAATCGTACGAGCAAATATCAAAACAATTTTTTCCACGTCATTTAGCGGGCCCCGAAATCCGCGAATTCAATTTCACGAAGGTCCGAAGCAATTTGTCCGCGTCCCATTCGAAAGCGATCGCAAACAAGCCCCACATACGCAGGAGAGGAGGAGAAAAAAAAAAACAGTATGACAAACGAGCTCGGGGCCCGTCATAAATCCCGCGATTAATCGGACAAAAAACGATCTTGTCCGTTGCTTTGTTTTAATCAACAATACGCTACACGTCGCCCATCGATCACGCGAATCTACGGGGTGGCCTCGAAAATTGCTCGGATTGCCGCGAGTAGAGAAATTTCATGTTGCTAATTTGGCGTTTTGTGTTGTTGTTGCAGTGAGTCAACCCGGAGCTGATCTGGTATGCAGTGGCGGAAATTGGCGCGTTCGAAGATCACTTCCGGTCGGTCACGCACGCGCAACATGCTCTGCTGTGGCCGCAGAAAGGTGAGTGACAATTGACAGCTGACGTAGGGGAGGCCGGTTGGCTGCCCGTTTGATGTTTGGTGACTTTTTTCGGGGAATTACCGGAGCGCTAATTGATTGGGTGCGGGTAACGGATGGAGTAAAATACAATCTTAACGAAGTTCGTGATGGTTTAACGAGAATCGTTTGTTTTTTTTTTTGTCGAATTTAATCGGGAAGTCTAATCTCGTTCGGCGGAGCGAAGTATTGTTGTTTATCGGGTCTGGAGGCGAGCATTTCTTCGATTCGCCGGGTAATTGATAGCCGGATAGCAGGAAATCGTTCGGAGTTTGCGGGAAACTTTAACGAGCCGGCTCTTATCGAAGGATGGAGAAAAAATCCCTGTACTGGAATTGCGATTTTTTTGATGTTCGAGAATAAAGTTCGGGGAATTTTTTCGGGCCATTTTTCGCTCGATTAAACGGCAAGCGGCGTAAAATTATATATTTATATAACCTTTCGACCTTTCCTTTATAGCGAGATAAAAAGTGAAACGTGACATCGAGAAGGGCAATAAAACAAACGTCAAACGTCAATCGCGTCCCTCCCACTCATCGATTTCGAGATTCCATCCCTTTTTATATACATTTTAATCATTCTACCGGAATTTAAATGATCCCTTCCTCTCGAATCTTCAACAAAATCGCCGATAAAACAGTTCTAAATATTACATCTCTATAAATTTGCAGCAGTGAGTGATTGACTGAGCGATTTATTTTCTGTTCTTATTCGAGCCGTGCATTTATGTTCAGTGTGTATAATGCAAAATGATTGATCGTGGAAATCCAGTCATGTCACGATCCTTTTCGGTGTGTAACGCAGGGAAAAAGGCGGAAAATAAACGCGCAAAAACTGCAACCTTTCATAATTGATTGCCGTATTGTAGTCTACGTGCTGTTGTACCGAAAATATAATGTAATGGGAAAATAATGGGCGGAAAATGCGTCATGGAAATACTGTATTTTCTCTAAAAATAATCGATACTTAGGCGAAACGAATGGGGAGCTTGTGGAATTATTTTTTTGTACTCTCTTACTAAAGAATGGGAATGGATTTGTTTGTTTGTGGATGATTTTTTGAAATTGCACAAATTTTTGAAGATTGGCCGATATTTTAGTGGATTTATGAGTAAACATTGCAAGAATTTACAATATTTCATATATTTTCCAAGATTTTCCTTCATTTTAGATAACAAAATAGTCGATTTTTAAGTACAATTTACAAGAAATTTCAAATTTCATAATATTTCCTAAATCATTCAACATTTTAGATGACAAATTAGTCGATTTTTGAGTATAATTTACAAGAATTCTCAACATTTCATATTTCCAAAATCGTTCAACTTTTTAGATGGCATTTTAATTGATTTTTGAGTATAAATTTACAAGAATTTACAAAATTTCATAAATTTTCCAAGATTATCCTTTATTTTAGATGACAAATTAGTTGATTTTTGAGTTCAATTTACAAGAATTTTCAAAATTTCATAATTCCAAAATCATTCAACGTTTTAGAGGCAATTTAGTTGATTTTAGAGTACCTACCCACTATTTACAAGCTTCTTGAAAATTTCATAATATCTCCAAAATCTTTCAACATTTTAGAAAGCAAAATTAGTCAATTTTCGAGTAGCACAACTCCCCAAAACTCTTCACATAACCTACAATAAAACCCTCATACTTTTCAACCGCCAACCGAAACGCAAATCGAATCAAACAAACCATCATCCCGTCCTCAACGTGCATCCCATCAACTCGGAACTTCCACGCCGCAACGGCCTCAAAGACTCGACTCTAAGTCGAATGGATTCCATTCCAAACAACGAAAAGGGTCATCTTTCGTCTCTCGAGCGCCTCTCGCCCGCTCCTCGGGACTCGCCATAAATTTAATGCCCGGAGATGTTTGAAGTCCCCGGCGGTTCGGTTAAAAGCTCATCGCTAACGATGGTATTAATTAATATTAGCATTTCGCCGAGGCATATTCCGATGCTTCTTATTCTTGCGCGTGCATAGAAAGCTCGAGAAGATCCCTTTGCGCCCGTCGATGGGGCTATTCTCTATTGAAAACGCTATAGCCTAATTGAGGATGTTATATTCCTAATGAAAGACTTTATTCCTCGCGAATTAGAATAAAATCCACCATTCCCATTCACCTTCTATCCCACTTAAATTACGCATAGAATTTCCCATTGATAAATAACGCACGGCAACGCGCCCGAATCGACCGGTTTTTATGGCCGTTTCGACGATATAAAAACCTGGAAATGTACAAAACTCCATTCACGGCCGTTACCCCGCCCGCTGGTTCTTTTTTTTTTTAATTTATGCCCCCTTCGTTCATTACAAATGTACGTACGTCACGTAAACTAACGCCGACGCTCGTACACATGTTACTACATAATTAAAATAAACTTTACAACTCAATTCGCCGCGCGAAATCCCGCAAATCCTGCGCCAGCACAAAGCTCGAATTTCCCCCACGCGAAGAACGAAATTTCCCGCTGAGTCGATTATTTTGTAAATTGTCGCCCTTATAGAGTCTCGCAAATCCATTTAAGCGAGTCAATAACTTACTCTAGAAAGTCAAATATCTATAAAGGAGTCAATTTTCTACTTAAGAAAGTCAATTATCAATTCGCGAGTCAGTTATCTTCTTAAGAAGTCAATTATCAACTCGTGAGAGTCAGTTATTTGCTTAAGAAAATCAATTATCAACACGATAGAGTTGATTACCTAATTAAGAATTCAATTATCAACTCGAGAGGGTCGATTTATCAACATAAGAAATGCAATTATCAACTGAAGAGAGCCAGTAATCCTTGCAAAAATCCGGAAAAAAGCCTCTCGGTAATTCCGAATGAAAATCGCCGACCTCGACAATAACAAATTACACCGTTTCCAGAAGGACGAGGACGAGTTAATATCCCGGCGAAATTATTCCGTCGGTTATATCCAGAAAGCCTTTCGTTAGGGTAGTACGTTTTCGAGTATAACTCGAGAGATCTCGCCCCCTTTCGCGAAATAAAAGCGAAAGATAAACGGGCTCGTGAGGGCGAGAACATCCCTTTTCCATAAACCGACGAACCGGGCGTTTTTCCGCGTCCCGACGGCCGCGAAAATGTACATTTTCCCCGCCGGAATTCGTCAAATTTCACCGGAAAATACGGTAGATTTCCAATACGACGCCGGGAAGGGACGAAATGCTGTTTTTCGCATCACTACTTACTACCTTGATCGATTTTATACGCACATAAACCAATATAAAGATGTAATTTTTGCTCATATTGACCCATAGAGACCAATATAGACCTTTAGAGACCCATGTAGATCTATAAAAACCGTCCTTTATACTTCAGAGGCTCATACTAACCCATAAAGACTTATCATAGACCTATTAGTGACCCATAAAGACCTATCATGGACCTATAGAGACCCATAAAGGCCTATCATAGATCTATGGAGACCTATATAGACTTCTAGTGATCCACATATATCTATAATAGACCTACAGAGATCTATATACACTCATAAAAACCTATCATAGACCTATTAGAGACTCATAGAGACTCATAAAGACCTATTATAGATCTATGGACGCCTATATACACTTATAGTGATCCACATAGATCTGTAATAGACTAATTAGAGATCTACATAGACCTTCAGAGATCCATACAGTTTCATAGAGACCTATAAAGACCCATAAGGACGTACTAAATGACCTCTAAAGACCTATATAGGTCTATAATAGAATTATAGAGATCCGTTTGACCTATATTGAGGATTCCTCATAATTTCCATGTTAAATATGCGAATTATTTTGGGGAATACATAGGACATAGGTAGGACTAATCTTCCGGTCGATTCCGGATTCCTCCGGCGTACGCTATATAACCTCACATTGAATCGGCATAGTAGATTTGGCGCGTACGCCGGCCGACCAATGACCGGAGGCGTAGTAAACGGGGTGCGCAGGCGTACGGGCGTCGGCGTCGGCGTCGCGCGAGATCAATAACCGGGGGGCGCGTAGAGGAGAGACGGGCCAGATATCGGAAGTCGGCGCCCGACGAAAAGCGCGAATTTTTTGGTTTTATATGTGTGATAAAAATGGCAAGGGGTGTTTTTTCACGAGAAAGGTAAATTTGATGTGCATGCGGAGTTTTTTTTTGGGGGGTGTTTCGGTTGGGTGAGCGGGTGAGCGGAGCGACGGCGGCGTCGCGACGGCCGACGGGTCGCGGGCCATTGGGCAGGATTTATGCCCGTTTGAATGTCATCATCAGGTTGATCGGGCTAATTTATCGAGTTTAGAGTTTCGAATCGCTTGAAGTAAAGTAAAAAAGTGTAAAAAGTGTTATAATAAAATTAAAAAAGTAAAAAGTGTTATTATAGTTGCGAATTTAATGCATTGTAGTGGATTTTCGGAACAAAAATAACAACAATTTGGGTTGTTATACACTCTACTTTTTTATTCACTTTGTCCAAAAATTAAACAACGAATATTAATAGATGAATTAAACGCTCTACTGACTAAAAATGAATTATTATTACAGTCAAAACCAGAAACAAATCGATAAATTCATCAACCGTTGGCGTTTAATATGAATAGACGAACTTTTCTTCTACCCATCAAACCGCACATATTCCCGTAATCGATGGACGCAAACCGCTTCCAATTTAATTCAATTACGCGATACAAACCCTCGAATTTCATATACAAATACCCGCGGCAAATTACGAGATTCGAATAACCCGTTTTCGAAAATGTTCAAACTACTCCACACGCTCTACTAACAACCCTTACAGTGTTTCCTAACAAACCCGGAAATTCCCACCAACCCTCGAAATAAATAAAAAAAAACACTCGTTCTTCATTCGCTCGCGTTTTTCTCAAACGCCCCCGACAATATCCTCCTCTCCACACGTTCTCGCCATTAATCCTTTCCGACAGAAACAAGAAGGGTTCGTAATCGAAAAAGCATATTACAAATGTGAATTCGCGACGAGGAATCCCGGCGATTTTTTCCTCTCTCGAGATAAGGAAATTCCCGTTCGAGCGGAACACCCTGCATCTCGCCGGATTATAAATTAACAGTTTTTTCGTTTAAAGGACGAGCCATTGTCACTTTCATCAACTATAAATTTGACAAATGAACGTCAGAGCCAAGAAACCATAGCAACAAATAATTGACACATTTTATAGTACGTTCAGAATTAATTCTTAAATGTATCAATATACCCGGGGGTTAAAACTAAATTGGTCTTCACGTGAATACGCGTTATTAAAATGTTTCCAAATTTGGGGGTTGAACCTTTAAAACGAGGTGTCACTTGACCCCACTTTCCATAAGAAAAAAATATTCAAAATGGCGCCTAACTGTCATTTTGAAAGTTTCAACTGTCATTTTTACGTCAAAAAATAGTATTTTTCTCCAATATAAACACCCCAAACGGACTTTTGGTCCTCACTTAATATTTGTAAATGTTTTAGGATAATGGACGTGAGGCTCTGGATCTCACTGCGTCTCCACTGCGAGCACCAGCGGCAGCTCCGAACTCGAGGACCCCTCACCCGCCGATGGTTATCCAAGGCGATTTCAGAAAGGTGAGAAAACGGGAATAATCGACTCGAACGAAATCGGTTTTAATTACGACAACAAAGCCGTAAATCGCGTCCGGTCGAGTACGAGTACTCGAGTTAGCGAAAGGGCGCTTTAAAACTTCGATCGTTAGCGTTTACCTCTACGAAATAATCGACTTTGATAACGGCGGAGTTTAACTCGAGTGTGATTGTCGCGTTTAGGAAACAGTCGCGTTTAGTTTAACGAAGGAATTGGTGTTTCGCAGGTGTCGGGGATCAGCAGCGAGATTTTCAAGCAGATTGAGACGATAGAAAACGATCACGATGCATCGACGGCGGCCGCTTTGGAGGTAAGCGAACGTTCGTTTCGGTGTTTTGTTTTAACCTATAAAATCGTTATTCAAATGAGGCGGTCGAAACGGGAAATGGACGCTTGTTTATGCGAGCATTAACGAGCTAACAAATTTGCGTTCGATCCGCGGAATGTCCTTTCGTTATTAATAGGGAAATGGATTTACCCGAAATTACCGTTGATCCGATTAATTATCCCGACGCGATGTTCATACACTCCACGTAATCACTACTAAAATTAAAGATATTATAACTAAGAGACCAAATTGTTCACAATTTTAACTATTTTGAAATTTAACTTATTTTCTTCTTCTTAAGTTTTTGGCCTCAACTGGCAGGGCTATTCGGCCAAACCTATTTTTTAATAATGACAGGTGACAGGTGTCATCGCAACGTTGCCAGTAAGGTGTAATAGCTATTTTGTGTTTGTATACATTTTTTTGATTATTATTTAAGTTTTTTTAATAACTTTTCTGTAAAATATAAACAATAATGGTGCATGCGTGTGTAATGTGCAAAAAAGTGGATCATTTAAATCCAGATTTCTCCTTTAATCGGTAAGTAAGCTTAAGTTATATTTTGTTTTCATTTAAACAAGTGATGTGGGGCACCCGCTATTCTTTTAAAAATCGTTAAATTATTCTTATAACGATAAATAATTATTGAATAACTTATAGTAGCTACTTAAAAGTAAAAACTTGAGGAAAAATTAACGTGAAAATGTGAAAAATGTGAATTTATTTCGTTACAATGCAAAAACATTTTGGTTACAACGTTGCCAGCGGGTCATAACAGATATGTCTTTCTCTCTCCCACTCATGAGAAATTTTAAAACAATAACAGTCCACAAATATATGGGATTCCATTATTCTATCAATATATGGGAGTTCATTCAATCTTCAATACAATCTCTCAATCTTCTTACATTCCTCCAGGGCTTACTCTATTCGCGACAGTGGACAAAATAACCAATTTATGACAGCACATTGTCAACGCATTATACAATAATTTTCGACACTTATACACTTGTTATTCGTACCCCCTGCCATTCATACTCTACCCGGCTCCAAATGGAAATAAAGGGGCAGCTAAAGGGCGCCAAGAGGGGCAAGAAAAAGGCGACGAAAAAATTCGTGCTCGAAGAGCCGAAGAGACGGAGCTTGTACGATATCGTCGTGGAGAATTTGCGACTGGCCGGCAGGAAAACGTTCCTCCATCGATTCATATACGTCGGAAGACACACGTTTCAGAGCGAAGTGAACGCCATAGCTATGTTCGAACGGACGATTAGCACCAACGGCATCGAGCCAATTACAGGTACGCTTTAGGAACCTCCGGGTCCATCCGATTCGCTATACACTCCCGATCCGTTGCAGGTTTATATTTACATTTTAAGAATCAATTTTTACACGTGATCGAAACCGACGAGGACAGCATACAGAAACACTTGAAAATATTATACTCCTCGGAGGAATTCAACGAATTGCAGAACCTGAAGTTGTTGGGCGACGTGAACCACATCAACAGCAGATTGAACATCTATTGGTCGACTTTCATCGGTATTTTTGTTCGGTATCAATCGACACTAGTAGGTAAACGTCGAGGTTCCAGGTACTCCAAAGAAACTCGTGAACCCGCCGAAGAAGGCCACCACGGAAACGCCGCGAGACACCGCCATTCAAGTGTTCAACTGCATCAATAAAATCAACCGATTGGTCGACAAAATGTACGGCGGATCCACCGTCAGCGTGATCGGAATCGACCGCAGCAACACGTCGGTGACCGACGTCATGGACCAATCGGTGTCGGTGATGCTGACGCGCAGCACCGTCACCGAGACCTCGTCGTCGTCGATGATGGAGCGGTCCTCCATATTGGGCGCCAGCAGCCCCTACAGGGACTTCCTGCCCGAGCGCGAGCTGCTCGACTATCTGATCGACTCGCCCTACACGCGCAACCTCGACGAGTACATCAACGTCGGCAGCAAGGTGATACAGGAGGCGGAGTACAACGACAAGATATGGCCGATATCCGGCGAGAACGTGCAGTACGATATATTGGACAAGACCGCCGATAGGAGGACGAGGACTTCGTTGCAAGGGGCGCACGCGCCGTACCGCGATAGGGACGAGGACGAGGACGAGGACGAGGAGGAGGAGCGGGAGCAATTAGCCGGCGTTGCTTTATAATTTTTATTTAATTTATATACAGGGTGTTCCATAATGACAGGCTAATATTTAAGGGGGTGATTCTTGGATCTATTTTAAGGAAATAACTTTATATGAACCTATGTCCTAAACGTCTTAACTTTTGAGATACAGGGTGGTAAAGTTTTGAGAAAAAAAAAATCAATTTTGTGTAATAACTGTGATACTATTGTAGATATCTTTATGAAATTTGGTACACTACAAATAATTTTATTATTTTCAGCAGTGGCGTCCGTACGGGTTTTGTATTGAATATTTTTGGAGGAAAAAATGCCACTGGCTAATATTGAAATAAAAATTATTTTCGGAATTCTCATTTAATTTAGAACAAATTTGATTACTTTACTTTTTTTTTCGTACGACTCATCGTTTCGAATTAAAAAATAATAAATTTTAGGTTTAGGACAAATGTTCATATGAAGTTTTTTTCTTAAAATGTTTCCAAGAATCACCCCTCTTAAATATTAATATGCTATTATGGAGCACCCTGTATATATGATTTATTAATAAATAATATTATTGTACAATTTTTAATAATAAAGGTATTCGCAGTAATCGTCTTCATCTTCTAAATTTCTTCTGTCAAATGTATCTAGTCATCTAAACCACGTGGTTTATCATTCTACATAATACCCTTCATTTATTCCCATAAAAAGAAGTCTAATGGTGCAAGATCGGGTGATCTTGCCCGCTATACTGTAACATTTTTGGATTGAGAATGAAGCGACCTTTCGAACGATTTATTCGAGGGTTTTTAAGGTAGGGTATAATGCGATAAATAACTGAATAAACACTACCAACTGTAAACGAAATAAATTTGTGGAATTTAGGTTGGTCCCGTGCGCGCCGCTGGCTTATATAAAGCAACGCGCCGAACGACTCGATGACAATAAATCAATCAATATTATTCCTATCATTTTTTTGCTCTTTTGTGTCTATTTGTTTTAAATGGAAAACGCGCAGCCAAAGAGTTACAGAAAAGGTAAGAAAGAATCGGCGAGGAAGCTCGCCGTCGAGGAACCGGTCAGAACGACTCTGTACGATATTGTCGTGGAGAATTTGCGGCTCGCCGGTAGAAAAACGTTCCTCCATCGGTTCATATACGTCGGCAGGCACACGTTCCCCACCGAATTCACCGCCATCACGTTTTTCGAGAAAACCATCAACACCAACGGCATCGAACCGATCACAGGTACGTACGAACCGCTCCCGATCTCTCGGAGTCTAACCATCCGCCCCCGTCAGGCCTGTACCTGCATTACAAGCGCCACTTTCTCCACGTAATCGAAACCGACGAAGACAGCATACAGAAGCACCTGAACCTGCTCTACGAGTCCGAGGAATTCGCGGACCTGCAAGACCTGAAGCTACTGGGCGATCTGAACCACATCAACTCCCGGCTGAACTACTACTGGTCCACGTACATCGGTAAATTAGCTCCGACGCCTCGCTAGAACCCCGTAGCAAATTTCCGATCGCATTCCAGGCACGCCCAAGGTGCTGGTGAACGCGCCCGACCAGGGCACGATGCAAACGCCCCGAGACACGGCCATACAAGTGTTCAACTGCATCAATAAAATCAACCGATTGGTGCACAAGATGTACGGCGAGTCCAGCTTGAGCGTGGGCCTCGACCTGGACCACAGCAACGCCTCGATGAGCGACGTCATCGACCAATCGGTGTCGGTGATGCTGACCGAGAGCAAGATGGCGGATTCGTCCTCGTTCTCGATGACCCAGAAGTCGTCCATTCTGGGCGCCGGCAGCCCCTACAGGGACTTCCTGCCCGAGCGGGAGCTGCTCGACTATCTGATAGACTCGCCCTACACGCAGGACCTGCGGATGTACACGCTGATCGGGAGCAGGTTCGTGCAGAACGCGGAGTACGACGATCACGTGTGGCCCATACCCGAGGAGAACGTGCAGTACGACATTATGACGAAAGATGTCACGACGATGGGCACCACCACCCTGCAAGGGTACTCGCAGGCGGCCGAAGTGACGGAGGACAAGGAATCCGGCGACGAGGACGATATCATCGACGTGGCTAAATAATTTAATTGTAAATGATTTAATTGGATGAAGCTTAAGCGCGTTGCGAATGGTACCGATGTACTTGGTAAGCAACGTGAAGTGCCTGATTAAATTGTAGATGAGGGGGGGCCGATTCCTAAATAAAATTGTGTAGCTGTTGTGTTGTGTTATTTCATCAAATCATCCAAAATAACGGCAAAAATGTTCTTCCCTTGAGAGGATTGTAAAGGTTTCATATGCAAAACCATTGAGCAACAATTATTAAATCGATAACTTCTAAAAAAAAAAATGAAAATAGGGTCGTGGAGATATTTTTTTTATCGAAATTCAATTGACTGGTACACCGCATAACGTGTTTTCAGCGCATTAAACAGCACTTACATTCCGTCGAGAACCGATTTATATTTCATAAACTAAGAAAAAAAATCCATTAAGCGAGCTTTTCCCTCTATTGACAATTCCGCTGTGTATATTTACACTTAACGACGCCAACATCGATTATTCCCCACAACAATTTAAACCGAACGTATAGCTAGTTTTTAACGGTGTCGGTGTTCCAGCACGTGGAACGACGCGGTGAGATGATAGTCCGCATCCTGGAGGCGAGGCAGCTGGGCAGGACGGCCAACGGGGAGGCGGTGAAACGTTTCACCGCCATGCAGGACGCCAAGCACACCGTCCAATTCGTCGAAATCGTCAAGCGGCCCGGCCAGACGCTGGGCCTCTACATCAGAGAGGGCAACGGCATCGACAGGAACGACGGCGTCTTCATATCGCGCATCGCCTTGGAATCGGCCGTCTACAACAGCGGATGCTTGAAGGTAAAAATAAACGGGTTGATAAACGCGTTTGGAGACGATCGTTGGCGTTCGCAGGTGGGCGACGAGATCCTGGCGGTGAACCTGGTGGACGTGACGAAGATGAGCCTCGACGACGTGGTCATCATCATGTCGATACCGAGACGGCTGGTGCTGGCGACGAGGCAACGGAAGGCCACCAAGGGCGGCCAGAGCTCGCCGAGCGTTCAGCCGCGCGCCGAGCACAAACCGCCGCCCGTGGTGGTCATCAAACGCGAGCTGAGAGAAGACGAGACCGACGACGGGGATTTAGATCACAGGTAAATCGTGAGGATTTGAATTCGTTGCGAGTTTCTTCGATTTGATAAGGACATCTTTAACTTCTTCTTTCGTTGATTTCGAGATGCATGATTCATTATTACTAATCCATGATCCCTGATTCATAATCACTGATTCATGAACCCTGATCTAAGATACTAGATCCATGATCCATCTCTTTGTAGATTTCCAAAGATCTATACCATTAATTTTTTCTCTGACGATCATCTCCACATGCTCATTCCAATATTTCCTATGCTTATACATCCCCATCTCCTTCTATCATTCGTGTCTTATTTAATCAGCATTTTTTTCTAAAAAGTACCTACTTACACAACCAGAAATAAGACAAGTCGAGCTATTATTGTTCCCAGTTGAAACATTATTGATGGTTATATATTTCAAAAATTTGTCTGGTTTCCGAAGACGATTCTCTTTGCACTCGAGTCATATTTATCTCGAGTGGAATACTGTAAAAGCCGTAAAATGCGAGCATATACTTAATTCGAAAGTTCCAGAGTCTTAACCTAGTTTTCGACGTGGAATCTAATTTGCAAGACGGGTCCGAAGTCGAGTTAAGTTCGTCGTGGAGGACGTGACGTACATACAGAAATATTTTCGTTTATTACGAAAAGCCGGATATTTTGACAGTTCGGAGGCTTCTCTCCGCGGTATTTCGCGTTCGGAGTGAAGTTTTCCTTCTTCCTATTACATTTATAATAGTCCGCTCTCAGGAGATGATGTTAAAATCATCTTGAAGGGGTAAATGCAACGGATAAATGACATAACGATAATTTGATATCAGGGATTCCATTCGGCAACGGCACACCGGCGACGGTCGAGAAATGTCCGAATCGCGATCCAGACTGGGCCTGGGGCTATCGCCGATGGACAACCGCCACGCCGGCCAGCAGGCCATCGACTCCAACGGCCTGGATCTCTACTACAACAGGTAACTGTCGATTCGTCGCCTCGGCGATTGTCGTCATTCCGCTCTGTACCTGTTGTTTCGCAGCCGACCGCCCGACGCGAATTGGGGCTACCAACCGCCCCCGCCCGTTATCACCGAACAACCCAAATCCGGCATGCAACATTTCCAACCGTACGAACGGAGTTATCCCAATACGCTCGAAAGCCTTGCCGAAAAGGTCCACTCGTTCGGCATGAGCAGGCGCATGTCGGCCGGAGCGCAACCCCTGGGTCCCAGGTAAGGGTCGACGCCACCCCCACAAACCTCGCACTGTATTCTCTGAACTCTCCACCACTCCGACTCCCCCAAACGTACTTCCGTTTGCAGGATAGAGAGCGTTGATAACAGATCGTTTCGTCGACATCTTTGCTATATAGCGAAAGGGTGATACAGCAAGCGTTTTTTTGTTTTCTTTGCAGGATTTCCTCGCAACAAAGCCCATCGTCTCACTATTACGTTCAGCACGCGGGCACCGGCGGCCGACGGATCATGCCCAGGTCCGGATCCGACCAGCACCTGCCCCAAACCGAGTACTCCGATTACACCAGCATCACCCAAGCCGGACGCCACAGCTTGCTGAGGAGCAGCCTCAAATCCGGCTCCACTCTAAGCAGGTACATCCCACGATAACGCACGTCTATCTCGTATCTGTCACACATCTATTGTTCTCCAGATACAATCAACGTTTCGTGGATCAATCGGCCGTGGCGGCGCAAATAGCCCAAGCGAAGTACGGCTCGAGCGGGGGCTCCCAGTACGGGACGGCGGGAACGATGCGGCGCGCTAGAGGTAGCCTGGATTACTCCAGCGATACTGAGGCGACGTCCGGACGAGCCGGTTACTACTACTACGGGTAAACGAGCAGTTTCCAGGCTTCTATCGCATTCAATCGAACTAATTTTTTGTTGTTGTATCGCAGACGAAACCAGGGCTCGGGAGCGCCGTCGGCGGGCGGCATTCCGCACAGTACGATACCGACGTTGGGCCGACAGAATTCCATCGGCACGTCCGACATCACCGCCAAGTTTAATTCGCTGCCGCGGGACGCGCGAGCGGCGTCGAGGTAAATCCTTTACTCTCCGCTCTAATTAAATTCCTCGCGACGTTTTCGCGTCTAATTAACCGACGCTCGACGAAACTTTAGTTTAACGTTAAATATTCCAGCAGATTGGCGATGAACAAGCGGTTCGGCGACAGGAGCGTGTCGTTGATACAGGACGAGGCGGACGGGGCGCTCTCCGCTCCGGAGATGCCATCGTCGATCAGGCGAGACCGAGGTAAGTCGATCGAAGATTGTTAAAATCGCCCGCTCGAATCGCACCGACTAATTTTCACGCGCTCGCAACGCAAAGGGAGAATACCGTCGTCAACTAGTGTGTTCTCTTCAGATGAGTACAGACAGTGGTTGAGCCGGACGCCGTCGACGTCGGCGATCTACGAGCAGATACGGGCGTCGCGCGACGTCCTCAACCAGCAGCGCGCCGCCCGGTTCACCTACAGCGCCGAGAACATACACGACGCCCTAAAGAACGTGAGTGGCAGCGCCGCCTTCTCTCCGTCGTTTCGTTCACTTTCGTTCGTCTTTCAGATGGAGAGCGGCTTGTACGGCGGCTACGGCCGGCCCGGCGCCACCTCCACGCTGGACCGGCACTTCGTTCGATCGCAGACGACCAGCGTACCGGCGAGGTCTCTATCAACGCAACATATCACGTCAGGTACGGTACTACTACGGGCCTGTAAAAGGTGTTTTATAAGTTGATAGTTTTCTTTTTATCTTTTAATTCTAAGCAACCTTTTCAAGTATTTTTTAAATATTTCTAAGGTCTGGAAACATAGGTCGCAAAAGTGTCCCGTTTTTTTGAGGATAAAACAGGGTTCCTAAAACGGTCGCTAGAAGGCGATGTTGTAAAGGACCACGATTTTTTGCGTACGAATTATGTAGAATTAGCATTAAGAAAGGTGTTATTCAAACTAAAAATAGATAAAAAATATAAAAATATACTTAAATCAGCGATGATTTTGTTGTTAACATCGTGCCTTACGTATCTTCGGTTAATATATTTCTCCATTTTCTCCTCGAAATGTCAAAAAATAATTTTTGAAGTTTTGACAGCTCGAACTGTCATTTCACACAACCGCGATTTATATGAAGCGCCACGCTGATTGGCTGAGATAAGTCGATCCTCCGATGGTTCGCCACGGTGCGGCGCAAAAGTGAAGCTCAAAAAGTTCAAATACCTTAGACCTTAGAAATATACGGCCGTGGATGCTACCAATTTACACACTCTCTGGATAATACTGTCGTTTTGGTCGGCCGTAGCTCTGAGTAGTTCGAGATCGCCGTCGATGAGGCGGATGCGACAGCTGCTCGACCTGGACGCGGTGAGGACGGGGGCGCCCAGCCCCGTGCCGACGCCCAGCGGGACGCTTCCGCGTGGCCAGCGACAGCTCGACATCAATCCCGCCGAGTTCCTCAAGTACAAGCTCGACAAGCCCGCCGGACTCGTCGGCGGGACCTCCATAACAGGTCAGTAGGGCGGGATTTACAGAGTATTCATAAATTATCGATTCCCGCGTGACCTAAAAATGTATGCAACCCAAAGTGCACTGTTGTTATTATCTTCATGAAATGTCCCTATTTTGAGTACAAATCAACACAGTGGGGTAAGAACATTAATCAAGTAGGTTGTTCATTATTTTTACCTACCATTAATTTAAGGTTATGTTGATACACAGTTTTCATCGGGAAAAGCACAGGAAAAATTAGGAAAAATAAACAAAACACGTTATAAAATAGCAAAATTTTCATACGTAATATTAAATAATGTTATATTTTTACCATTACAATTCCTAATATAATTAAATTCTTATTTAAAATATATTTGTCTACGATCAAAGCGCCTGATTGGATCCGCCATGTTACCTCCATTTTTCTACCTTACTCTTTCTGCCTCGTTTACTTAATAAGTGACAGATAATTTTCAATGTTGGCGTCAAAAATTTTTGAATTTACGAACGACTGGTTGGGGATGTGAATCAAGAGCGCTTAGAGAACAAAAAAACTGAAGCGAGATACCTGTAGGTAATAGTTTCTTTATTATCACAGGTCTTTCTCAACTAGCGTCCGGACCTGGAGGTTTTTCCACCGACGAGCCCGTAAGCGGGATGTTGTGGGTGCATTTACTGGCCGGTAGAGGATTGAGACCGTCTACCGGTACATCAGCGGCTACGACGCCCGTGACGCCTAGCGGAGGAGCTCCCAGTATAACAGGTACTAACTTTCTATTGCATCGTCGATCGATTTAATCGATTCATTGGCTTGTTAAAGGACCGGCGACCGTGAGAGATTTGTATTGCGTGCTGGAATGCGACCGTGTACATAAAGCTCGTACCGTGGTACGTATAATATAATTTGGAGATTTTGGTTTTTTTATTAAAATTCGTTAGGTGAGGACCGGCGATTTGGTGTTCGACTGGGACGAAAGCTTCGAACTGGATTTAGTCAACAACAAGGAATTGGACCTGCTGATCTACTCCTGGGATCCGCAATACAGGCACAAGTTGTGCTACAAGGGTTCAGTTTATTTGCCTACGCTGCTCAAGTCCGGCCCTATACACCAATTAGCGCTTAAAATTGAACCGAGAGGTACTATACTCGAAGATACCGGTAAAAATTCGTATAATAATCGCGACGATTATCGATTTCCAGGCACGCTGTATTTGAGACTGAGACACACCGATTCGCAGACGTTCTACAGACGACGCGCGCCGTCCACGTTGACCCTATCCCGCACGACGCCGCTGTTCGGCGTCGACCTCGAAACCGTCGTGTCGAGGGAAAGCAAGACGGGCGGCGTGCCCGGCGGCGTCGCCACCGGCCTCGTCACCGGCGTGCAGCACAACGTGCCCATCATCGTGCGTCGGTGCGTGGAGGAGGTCGAACGGCGCGGGCTCGACATCATCGGCCTCTACCGCCTCTGCGGCTCGGCCACCAAGAAGCGCATCCTGCGCGAGGCCTTCGAACGGAACAGCCGCTCCGTCGACCTCAGTCCCGACAACGTGCCCGACATCAACGTCATCACGGGCGTGCTCAAGGACTATCTGCGCGAGCTGCCCGAGCCGCTCTTCACCAAATGCCTCTACCAGATGATGGTCGACGCGCTGGGCGTGTGCCTGCCCGACGATCCCGAGGGCAACGCCAAGCTCATGTTCTCCATATTGGATTGCCTGCCGAGAATCAACAGGGTAAGTTGTTAGTATAAAAATCGAGGTAGCTAGTATTAATGCGAGTTGTGCCTCAGGCCACTTTGATATTCCTGATGGACCATCTGGCTCTGGTCGTGTCCGCTTCGGATCGCAACAAAATGTCCGCCCAGAACCTGGCGACGGCGCTGGCGCCGCCGCTGATGATGCAAACGGGCGATACCGTGACGCCCACCAAGCCGCCCTACGACGCCGACTATCAGCAGCCCATCGGCGTGCTGAAGTACCTGTTGCAGATCTGGCCGACGCCCAAGCACCACCATCACTCAGGTAATGTGTAGTTGCGATTTCGTCGCGATCGTGGTGTCTTTAGCGAGCTTATTTAGTTGGATGTCATCGCCGACCATTCGATGTATTATAGTTATAACGAATGTTTCGGTACGGTGATGGCATTAACTGTTAAGTGTATCGAGTGTTTTAGAATTGCTGTAAGATTATCCAGAACACCCACATACATAAACACCAATCGATAATGAGAATTTCGCAGTGCTTCAATTCAAACAATACAAAATTTACAACCGCTTTGTGGATATGGTAGTTTTTTATTTTGGTAGCAGAATATACAAATTCAACGATATCGTTTGTCTTTAGCAAGCTGTAGATATAAATTAACCCCGAATCGCGATTACCGGCATCGCGGTAAACGAGATGCCGTTGGTCGCGACGAAAAAAAGGGGACGCTCGGGAGACGAACCCCGTCGCGTAGTTTCGGTGTATCGATGTGTGGGGGTGTTGTTGGTATTTAGAGGGGGCCTTTCCAGACAGGTCGGCGCGGCAGGCCATCCGGGCCGCGTGGAGACAGTCGCAATGCGTGTCCTCAGGGAGTAGCGTCGGCGCCGGTATCGCTGGGATCCCTGGCGGCGGTGCGAGAGCCGTCTCGGCTCTCAGCGGCTCCGTTTCCTCCTCCTCCTCGCTCAGCAGCCTCGGGCCCCCGCGGCCTACAGCCACAGGTCCCATTACACCAGACACTAGTAAGTACTATACTTCAACCCCGATGTTGTGTTCGTACGTGTGCGTTTGGTATTTATTAAGTTTCGTCGGTGAAAACGAAAGGAAATTGTACGAGGGGTGAATTTTTCCAGGGCCAATCATCAGCAAGCAAAGGTCCCTACCGTCCACTATCCCCTCGGGTAGGACCGCAAGCCACGTCCTCGGTCGCAGCGCTTCGGCCGCGGCAAGTGATTGTGTCTTCGCCAGGCTCGCCAAGCAGCAGTAGCGATTCCCAAAGCGGTTCGGAATCGGTTAAACACTGCCTGCCCGGCCGCGTCGGTTCGCCCGTCGTCCGGGCGTCGCCTTCGGCGCAATCGGCGCTGCGATCGTCGCCGTCGGTGTCGATCGGCTCGCCGGGACCGAGGAACTCGCCGTCGGTGTCGAGCCTGAGCCGGGCCAGCCCGTCGATGCTCAACCAGACGGTGTCGAGGTCGAGCTCGCCGGCCATGCAGGCGAGCAGCGCCGGCCTGAACGTCACGTTGGGCGGCGCGACGCCGTCGTTCGGCTCGACGCTATCGGGCTACCAGAGCTCGTTGATGTCGAACGCGACCACCGGCGGCGGCCCGGCTTCGAGCGACTACGGTTGGAACTACACGCCGTCGTCGACGTACTCGAGCCAATCGCAGGCGCAGCCGCCGCCGACCTACTCGAGCACGAACCCATTCCTCACCGGCTCGTACATGAGCTACACGCCGGGCGAGTCGAACTTCGCCGAGAAGTTCAACACCATCGGCCCGTCCAAGGAGATCAAATCGTTCTTCGAGTCGTACACCAGCGACGTCGGCAAGTACTCGACGTTGAATCCGAGAACGGGCGCGTCCTACGACGCGGACTACCTGTATTCGGGCTCGGCGGATGGGAAGACCAACGGATTGGGTACCAGCCGGTACCTGAGCGACTTCAAGTTCGCCGGGCGCGGCGCCGGCGAGTACGAAAGCGCAGGCGCCGGCGCCGGCGCCGGACAGGGCGGCTCGGCGGCCGGGTTGTTGCACGTGGAAGAGACGCCGACGCCGACGAGCAGCATCGAGACGGAGGACAGCAACACGAGAGAGGTGGGCGAGAAGGACGTCGAAGGGGACGGAGAACAAAGCGACTGAATGGATTCAGGCGAAGCGGCTCGGGCGCCACCCCTCGATTAATTCGTACTAGGTAATCACTGATTAATGGTAACGGCACAAAACTAATGTTATTATTGGGTAATATCGTAGGGTTTAGGTACTGTCACTCATTGTCGATGTATCTACCATTTTAAATTCGTCTGTCATTACATTCGTAAACGCGGTAATGAGAGGTGTTCGAGCGTCTCGTCTGTTGCGGAGCGGGCTTCTCTTGGTCCCGCGAATATTTTTTAGATGAAAATTATTTTATTTTTTTTTTGTATTATTAATTCGCTATGATGGTAAACGAGTGGCTCTGCACGAGGCGTTCGACCCATTGGATATATTGCTTACTAGAAATCAAACTGAATCAATATAGGAGTCATTGTTATCTAATATTTAAATTTATATTATTTTAGTTGTTAGTTAAATCGATGATAGAATTTTAAATGGAAAGAAAAAAAATAGATAATAATTGTTGCGTGTGTTTGCACAACTATGTTTTTTCGTTGTTTATTGTATATGTTCTTTCAAAAGTGTGATATTCACTCGATGTTATTTAGGTACAGATTTTCCCATGCCGGTTGTCTCGAAATTTAATTGAATTTATCAAAGTAAGAAATGTCGTTTGTAAGAATACTTGTCCCACTATTAAAAATCTCTACTATTATACAAAGGGAAAATGTTATTTTGTCATTGTAGTTCATTGGAAGCGCCTCGACAAAACATTAATGGTCGATTTCCAATTCCATTTTTTTGAACCATTTCAAAAAATTTCCAAATTAAAGGCGTTGAAGATGAAAAAAATCTTGTTGGCTCCAGATGGGATTATACGGGCTTATTTACAATTATCGCTATAACTTCATCAGTAAGAATATCAAGATAAAGTTAAGAAGGAGTTTTTAAGGCAATATGAATTCGCGACAATAAAGATTCGGAAGGATAATTAACATTTGAGTTATTATTTTATTGGCGATTAGATTTCAAAATTTGCCGTTTGTTTGTGAAAAATAATTAAGTTTTCGTTCGTATTCTTACTGATAGAAAAGAAAGTGTCTTTGATTTTAACGAATGCACAAATTAATAAAATACCTACCTACTAATTATATAAAACAACGTCACTGCCATGTAACGTATTTTAGGCAGATATTTCCAATTTAGTGTATAATACTATTTATAGCGGATTTTTTTAAAAAAGGAAACTAATACATAATAATCGAAAGAATAATAATGAATACTTGTAGAGTTTGTGACAATTGATTTTCTATAGGATTTGTAATTTTTCATAATACCCTTTTATCGCTTTGAGACTCTGTACATTTTTAAGAACGATAACCAAAACAGAAAAAACAAAATAACTGTAAATATTAGTGACAACATAAGGTAAAAGTCAGGACAAAACTCAACAGTTAATCGTATGAGAATTCCTTCGAGTCTATCAAATTTTCCATTAATTGTTGTTAATTTTTTATATTTTATATGTAGGATGTTGTGAATTCGTTTTATGTTATATTTGTGTTGATTGCCATGCAAAAATTTACATTCTAAGCAGACGTTTCTTGAGAAATAAATGTTTCCGTTACTAATAAAATGTTTATTAAAGTAATAATTAGCGACGAACATTCGCTCCCGATCGAATTCGAATTCCATTAAATATTTGTATGGCAAAATAAGTGAATAATTGTACGTAACTTTGAATGTATGTAGAAAACAGAAAGACGTTCCGAATGCATACCACGTGCTTCTTCCAAATATTTACCTCCTAGTCACACTGTCGAACAAGAAACAGAAACGCTAAATATCATTTAACGAACTGTACATATTTATAAATATATATAAATACTAAACATAAGGAGTAAGGAACGTTCGCTTGTAAGCTCTATGAACAATTCCGGGCGACCGGGCTCGGCGAATTCCGGGGATCCCCCGGCGCATTTTATACAAACCGCGGTAATTTTGTAAGGAAACCGGCGCCGAAATCGCCGAGCGCGCCCGCCGAACTTGTGCAATATAAATGTGAAAAAAAAATATCCAAAACCCGTACTCTTTTGCAATTTTGTACTTACTTTGCGGTGCTAGGGAGCAGTCATTAGGTTTTTGGTGTTTACAATGCGTACACAAAATAATAAATAGGTACCGGGAATCTCGATCTTGAGAATCTTCACGTTAGTTCGTTGCGAACTCGATGAATGTGAATAATCGAAATGTCAAAACAATCTCGATGGGTACCTAATCGCCTAAAAAAGTAGTAAATGTGGCTAAAAATAAATATATTGTATATTGATTATGTTAGGGACTGTGTGCTGTGGAGAGAGATACTCTAGTCAATTTTAAGTTTAGTCAATTTTTAGGGATGAGTAGTTGAATTTAATTACTATTGATTATTAGATGATTACGCAGGCACTGGGCAAATACAATGAATTTCCGGAGCGTTCATCGGTGATTAAAAAATAGATTTTTTTCCTCGTTTGGTACCCGAACAGTTTTTTCTCTGCGACGCGACATATCACTTAATTGTATCATCGTGAGGCTGAAAGTTATATCAATGGGAAATTTAGTGGATTTTGGGGGTACAAGGGATTTGTAGTAAGAGACAAAATTGGCCTAATTTGAAGACGGTGGAATTTCAGCTTCATCCATCGGTTAATTAAATTTAAATGTAATTTCGGCGTAAATAAAAACCAACTATTTTTTAATCATTCTTGAGGTCCGCATATGAGAAGAATTAAATTATATATTATATAAATTTAAAAAACAAACAGATGGCGTATGTAAGAATGTTGTATGCACATATCATAATAGAATTTATACTTTTCCTATAAATGGCTGAAGTGTGTACAATAACTACGTAAAAACCTTGACCATATACATCATTATCTAGCTAAACAAAGAGAAATGAGAATTATCCTGGAAAATATTGGAAATTTTAACTATAGCTTGTTGAATTTATTGAAATAGGAAAATCGAATGGCGAATTTGAATTTGATGTTGTAGATTAAAGAATGTTTATTTTTTTCGACTTTCGTTGACTACCCACTAGGATTTATGGAAAATATTTTTAATATCCGATATTTTGCATTTTTTTTACACGTAACTCATAAAATATCCAATATTTTTACAAATTTATACCTACCTATATCAATTTCTTTCCCTATACCTATAGACTATTAAATTGTTATGTATACAAATTTGTTTCCACAATAACTTCACAAAATTTTACGGCGGTCAAAATAAAAATCACACGCTCAGTTCCATCCAAAAAGCTACAAAAAAAATTCCAACTTTTACCCAGTAAATTTTACATCGACAATAACCATACAAATATTCTTTTCCCTTGCGCATCGTTTCGGTGGCCGGTTAAAATTTTGTGAATTTATTCGAAAAAAAAAACTTACGACAAAATATAGATGTTAAAAATAAACTATAAATTATCAGTATTTAAGAATAGCTTTTCGAACGGCTAGAACCCTCCTAATATGTACTTAAACGAAATAACGAATAAATCATTCAGTTGATACAGTCGCAGTCTTTGAATTTTCCACCCGTTCTCCGAAAAAAATAAATGGCAAATTTTCGAGATATATTTCGAGACTTTTTTGTCATAAATTTACCAAATTTTCGCAATTTTGTAGAAAAAAAAACTAAAAAAAAGTGTAAATATGGCGGCGTAAAAAGTGCTAAAAAATTGCCAAAAAATTGGACTAATATTGCTAAAAAATTGCTCAAAAAATATGCCAAGAATTGGCGAAAAATTAGGCAAAAAATGAGCAAAAATTGCGTTAAAAGTGCGAAATATTGGTCAAAATTTGCACTAACAATTGCCTAAAAATGGGTAAAAATTGGTAAAAATTTAGTAAAAATTGCATTAAAAATGAGCAAAAATTAGTAACAAATTGGACAAATATTGGTGAAAAAACGCTTAAAAAGTGTGGCAAAAATTGCATTCAAAATTGAACAAAAATTAGTCAAAATTTATACTAAAAATTGGCAAAATTTTCCGTTTCCTATCATTAAACACACCACATCTACCGCATTCTATCAACAACAACGAGCAGCCCGGCGGCAAAGCGGAAAGTGAAAGCAGTAGGAGAGAGAATTCCCGCCGATGCCGGTAACCTCTTAAGCGAAACCGCTGCAGTACATCAATTACTGCACCGCAAGCTCCCTCGCGCGACGCTCTTACTATGTAATAAAAAAAAAATCGAAAATCGCGTACAATCGAAATGTTACTGGTCACGATCGTAGGGCTGGTGGGCTTGGTAGCAGAAGGCCAATTCTGGCCCAACCACCAGCGCAGGCAGCAGCCCGGTCGGCTCCAGCTCAAAGCGGCCCTGGACCTCAAGAACAGGATCAAACAGCGGTTCGACATCGTCAGGATGTGGAACACCCAGTCGATTTGCTACGGTAAGGGATTTTCATTATTTCAATCAGCGATAAATGCTACCCTGCATCCCAATTTGTATTCAGATTCAAACTGCAATCTGTTACAGTAGATAAAAAAATCTTCAACATTGCACTAATTGGAATTAGGGTCGCAAATGTCCAGGAACATTTTCATCCTGACGATTGCCATCTCGATAGGTTGGATCGAATTAAATTTCTAACAATAAACTGCGCACGTTCGAATAAAAATATCTACTCGTAGCTCCTAAAGGATGTGTAACTGATAATTATGTTGCAAATGATCGATGTACTGACCCCAAATTGAAGTTACTTAAACTTGTTATCGAGCGTCCAAGGACCCGTTTGTCGAAGAGACTTGTTCATAAGCAGGCGGTTTCAAGGTGGATTTGAAAACGCCCTACATTTCTCGAACCCCAAGGTGATGTGCGGGTTTAAAATGCGCAATAAAGTTGGGAGGTCGTTAGGAGAAGAATTATTCCTTAAAATATTTCCAATGCCTGATGATTAAAACTGAGTTCTATTATTGTGTATAATGACTGTTTCGAGATGTCAGCAATCTAATAATGCACTTGCTGTATTACAATCTAGAATAGGAGGTCGATTTCTGACTACAAATGAAGTATGCATGCCAAATTGCACGTTACAAAAGAGAGGAACTGCATTTCCATTGCAATATACGCACAATTTCTAGACAATAACTAGGCGTCCTTTATTTACAAATAAATTTCGACATTAACCATCAATAACTTTTAATATCTCTCATCGTTACCGGAAATAGTTAGGAAACCAAAACGAACCGACCTTAATTTTAAGCAATCAGTGATATCAAAACAAACATCTTTAATAAACTCCTTGCAGACGAAGTGGGATGTTTCTCGCTACCTCACAAAAACTCCCCGTTGCAAAAGATGCCGGAGGACCCGCGGGTTTTGAACACGAAATTCTATTTGTACACCAGACGAACGGACTTCGCCCAGCCGGAGATACTGATGTACGATGATGGAGGGAAGAGCCTCAACGGGTCCACGTTCGATGCCCGTCGACCGCTGAAGGTCCTGGTGCACGGCTACACCAGCAAATGGAACGAAAAGGGCGCCATGATCATAATGAACACCTATTTGAAATTGGTGAGTATGGGAACTGGTGAAGTCTTGAGATGTTTATGCAACTATCCAGTGCAACATTGTTCAATTTGTTTCAAGTGTTCTACTAGAATAGGCGAGGTTTGATGTCAGTTGTACAACTGAATCAGATTAAACAAAGCTGCACTGGATAGTTTCATAAATATATCAAGTCTCTCCTCAATAACATTGCCTAGAAGTTCTGGGTAACATCGGAACCTATAATATTAGAAAAATCCCTCGTACTATGCAGTTATTGTACATCAATTAGCCATGCAGTCGAGCGTATAGCTCATAATTAAAACCGACCTTCAACCGTGGATAAGAAGCGAGGATTGCGAATGTTCATTCGAACTTGAATTTTGGGATGCGATCTCGAAACGCTGACCCAAAAATACTTCGTTGGGCAATACTTTCAGCGAAACGTGTTATTTACAATAAAGAGTGTTTTTTCCCATACGAATACATTAATTCAAAACGGATACATTGCCATATTCCATTAATATTTGTATAAGTACATTTTCGTTCGGCGCGATTTCGCAACGGAATCGATTCGCAATGTCAAACAGTTTCACGACCATTGGAAATTATATAATTCTGCATTTACACTCAAATGACCAATAAAGTAAACGCGGCCCGTTTTGTATATCAAATCATCCGGCAAACGCTGCTTTCACTTTATTTCATCAAAATTGCATTGCGTTGAAAAAACGTTACTTATTTTATAAGTAACTTCGATTGCTTTTGAATACTTGATATAGTTAATGCAGATTTTTAATACGCAAACTGATTAAAACATCAAATCTTATTACGTAAACCGGTAGATTATAATCGTATGTTAGAATTGATTTTATTGTTTTAAATTACACGTTGTTTATTCGATCAGAAGACGGAAATTCAGCTATGTTATTACCATTATGTTATTACCACTTACCATATTAGAAACGCTTGATTATAGGAAGTAACCTTTAGGATAAAACTGGGTTCCTAAAACGGCAGCTAGGAGGCGATGTTGTAAAGGACCAATCAGCGATGATTTTGTTGTTTAACATCACGCCTCACGTATCTTCGGTAAATGTATTTCTCCATTTTCTCCTCGAAATGTCAAAAAATAATTTTTGAAGTTTTGACAGCTTGAACTGTCGTCTCACAACCGCGATTTATCTGTAGCGCGACGCTGATTGGCTGAGATAAGTTGGTCCTCCGATCGTTCGCCACGGTGCGGCGCAAAAGTGAAGCTCAAAAAGTCCTCAAATAACGGGATACATTCTCTAATGCATAAGCATAGGGAGATTCCAGACCTTAGAAATATAGGGCCGTGACTTTATTTAATCAAAAAACATTCTAACTTCACTTAATTAAGTGACAATTGTCAAAACTGTCAAAAAAAACACAACTTCGGCCTTCTACATCACGGAAAAACGCATCAATCTACCAAACTGGTACTCAAATTTCGATATTTTTGGATGCGTAGTCTAGACTCATCTTACTATCTTCCAGTATGATTGCAACGTGATTTTGGTGGACTGGCACGTCGGGGCCCGTCCGCCCCATTACGCAGTGGCGGCGGCCAACACGGAATTGGTGGGTAGGCAGCTGGGGATGCTCCTCACCCACATGGTTCGATCGGGCTCGGACGCCCGGACGATGCACTTGATAGGATTTTCTCTCGGTGCCCACGTCTGTGGCACCGCTTCCGAGAGCTTGAAACGACAGGGTCACCTCTTGGGGCGAATCACCGGTAACATTTACCACAAATATGTGTTAGAACAAGTACAGTTGAAGGTGTTTTCAGGACTGGATCCGGCTAGTCCGCTGTTCAGGAACAATTACCTCAGGGAAAACCACAAGAAACTGGATAGGAGCGACGCTAAATTGGTGGATGTCATTCACACCGATTCCAGTCCGGTAAGAGCGATTCCCAATGCACCAATACTCTTAACGTTATTAATAAAATATTTCCAGTTCCTGACGGACGGTTTTGGTTTATACGAGCCGATAGGGCACGTGGATTTCTACCCGAACGGGGGGCAGGACCAGCCCGGGTGCAACGACGTGGCGGATTCCGTGGTGGTCTCTCATTTCGGTATGCCTACCTATCCAAAACTATCCAATCTCGGCTTCCATGTGGGTTGCTTTACAGAGCGCGGCCTCTCCAAGGAGCTGGTGTGCAGCCACGTCAGGGCGTTCCTGCTGTTCAGGGAGTCGCTGCAGAACCTGCTGGAGCGGCGGGGCGGCGGGGACGCGTGCGAGTTCGTGGCGTACAATTGCGCGGGGGAAATGGCCGCCTTCGAGCGGGGCGATTGCTTCCCGCAGATTCGCAACGGCAGCGCGGGGAAGTACGGGAGCGACGTCGGTCGGTTCGGGGAGGACGTTAGAGGTGAAGGCGTGATGTTTCTGTCGACCAGAGGGGAATCCCCGTTTTGCGGTTAGTATGCGAGCTTGCAAAAGCGAACATTTTTGCGAAATTTTTTGTGATTTATCACCAGGCACTCAGTTGCAAGCTATAATGAAATTATCACACAAATGCGGACCGTTGAAAGGGATTTTACAGATACAGTTGAGCAACAAAAATCACACTACTTTCACACCTGCGATTATTCAAATACAGTAAGTAAATTGGCGCCTGCTTTGATCGAAGTTTGTAGTGGGAAATTGGAAAAATTCTTCCAGGTTTAGGGAAACGGATGCACCTAGCAGAACAGTGTACGGGATAGCCTCTACTAATTACAAAACTATTCCTGAAAATATGACGAAAATGCAGGCTAAGTTCAGTTATTTTAATAGTGCGAGTAAATCGAATCAAACTGATGAGATTGATGAGCCTGTAATATATTTCGACAAAATTACAGTACGAGATATGTATGGAAACCGGTAAGTTTTTATTTTTAATGCAAAAAATAAAAAAAAAGTAATTCCGGTACCGGGAATCGAACCCGAGCCTCCTGGGTGAGAGCCAGGTATCCTAGCCACTAGACCATACCGGATATACTTCTCAATCGCAAATACAGTGTTTTGAATAGTTTAGTACATAAAATAATCAATTTTTTTACTATTAAATAAACAACATTTCACAAGAATACATCACGATGATGATTCCCAAAATTCCTTCAAAAAAATTGTTTATTTTTAGATGAACTTTACTGTTTGATCAAAAATATGCAAATGAGAAGTATATCCGGTATGGTCTAGTGGCTAGGATACCTGGCTCTCACCCAGGAGGCTCGGGTTCGATTCCCGGTACCGGAATACTCTTTTTTAATTTTTCTTCGTGAATTATTTATTTTTATTTAATAATGGTAATATTAATTTCGTAATTTGATTCTTAATTAATGAATGCAAAATATTTTATAATTTTAATTGTCAATATCATTCGAGTAAAAACAACTTGGCAATGCTACGACAAAATATCTTTTGGATAACAACCAAACTAAATACAAAAAAAAAAATGAAAAAAGAAAACTTCCGATACCGGGAATCGAACCCGAGCCTCCTGGGTGAAAGCCAGGTATCCTAGCCACTAGACCATATCGGATATACCGGTTTGTTATTAAACACTATATATAAAAAAATATCAATATTTCAGTTTATAAAAATAGTGCTAATTGCACAGGTTCATAAAGAGTTAATATGTTCGAAAAAATAAAAATAATACAAATATTTTGCGAACCAAATAGTGCAATTTGAAACGTAAAAAAAGAACTGGCCCATGGGGGGATCGAACCCGCGACCTTCGCGTTATTAGCACGACGCTCTAACCAACTGAGCTAATGGGCCATTGGACGTGAGTTGAAATTCCCAAGTCTTAAATAATGGAACTATTTTTATTATTCAGTAACTACTGTTTTATTTTTAGCTGGCTCTATTGTCAGAAAAATACGCAAATATTGGATTCCAACGGACAAATTTATAATTTATTAACCGTATCGTTAACGAAAAACAGTTGTTCCTAATTATTAAAAATCGAAAATTGTACAAATCACACTTATACTTTTTATAAATATTTATTATACGTATATTAACTTCTATTTATAATATTTATTTTGTAAATACATATCTAAAGTAAACAGGTACTTACATTCAAGTCATGGATAAAAAATGAAACAACAGATTTGTTTGATGATTGATATTTAATTTTCAAATAAAAAAATCCAAATAGATTATAAAACGTGTTTGTATCAAATGAAAACCTTCGCTTCCCATATGGCAGTAAACCAAAAAATTTTATTCAGTATCGTGTAATACAATGTTCTTATCTTATGCTTATATCTACATCGAAATGAAACGGAAAAATGAATCAAATATCCATTAATACATTACCAAAATCAATTCATTCGTAATCCATGCTGTTTGTGCCGTTTTGTTGATCTGAAACAATCAAAATGTTGCTCTTAGCTGTTATTTTCCTAAGTAAAACACTTACGATTGGCTTCGTTTCCGGGTATCTGCCCAGATTGCAGGATTTTCTGCAACCTCTCGACCTCAGCAAGCGAACCGGCCTTCTTGATGGCATCTCGAATTTGCTTAATTTCCTCGTCAGTTAAACCTTGAAAATAACAATAAATTAACGACTAGTATTAATCGAAACAAAGTCTCTACCTTTGCTCTTCGCCACGTTATTAGCATTACCGCCGGGCACGAAAGTCTTTGCGGTTTTAATAATTTCCTTTTGCAGTTCTTTACCCTTTTTACTTTTGAAGAGCGTTTTAGCTTCTTCTCTTTCTTTAAGTTTTATTTTTCGAAAATCTAGCAACTTCAATTGGGGAAGTTTATATATAACATACAGTCTGTAGTGCTGTTTGGCTGTAATAGGGTTGAACATTAGGCTTAAGGTGGTAAGTTTTTCTAAAGTAACTAACGGTTCGATGTCGCCAAGCTCTTCCATTTGATTGCCCGTAAGGATAAGGCTCTCCAAGTTCGGGATGTACTCTTCCAGGTGTTCGCCTATGCGACTGCAAAAATGACTCGTTAGCCGAAAAGTAACGGTGTATAATTCGATACGTACACTATACGATTGTTGTTCATTAGAAGGCATTTCAAACGAGGTAAGTAGGGAAACCCGTCCAGCTTCCTAACGTCGTTATCTGAGAAATCGATCGTGTCGAATTGATCCCCGGTTGCTCCTAGATTTTCGATTTCTGGAATTCTATATCCTGACGAAAAAAAACGGAGCTTGAGTTTCGAACATAACCTCATTTTATTCCATTTACCTCTGAGATCCAATTCGCGATCCTTGACAGGATTTATGCACTGCATGGAATTTTGAATTATTTCGGCCGTAAGTTTCACCATCTTTCCATCAGATTTTGAGGGGAATTAAAGAAAACGTTGAATTATCGGCGAAATTGAACCAACGTGAATATGGAACGAAATAAGCGTTTATTTTGATCTGTCGTTGTCATATGTCATGTCATTTGTCATACTACTCGAACGGTTTATGTTAGTGGCCTTTGCCTTTTCAGTAATCCGTTTAGTAATTAAAAGTCCAAAATCACAATGAAATGAAATGTAGATGTAATACATTTTTTTTAATTAAATTTTATCCTTTGTTATCGAAAGAATGTTAGAAATTTTTTATTGAGGTAATAGTAAAGAAATTAAGATGTGGGAGTCAAAATAAAATAGTACATATTGCAAATCAAATTCACAACAAATAATAAATAAATTAGTATTTTGCTTTATTACCAGTTGCATTATTTAATATAATATCTTACAATTTTCTTATTTAATTTAGTTCTTCACTATGTAGGTGGGTTTTTCATGGTTTTTAGCTGTGTACAATTTGGGTACAGGCCTCTTTCACTCTGTTGTCGACTCAAATTCAGCGGCAACAAAGCGGAAAAAGACAAGTCCACAAATTAATCGAGTTCTAAATTCAATTATTTGGCCCATATTCTCGATACCGAGTACCCAATTTTCCCCATTTTTTTTCCTTTTAAAAGCATTCTTAACGAGCACTTTTGTCGCACAAATTACGTGGATTGTGACTCATTAGCAAATCGTCGGGTACGTAATTTTACAGCGATAACTATTTACAATAATTTACAGTAATATAATGCTTGAAAAAAATGGTATTTTATCGGAATATTATCGACTCGCCTAGTTTACGTGGCTATTAAATTTCCATTCAATGAAGAAAATATTACTAATTCTAACAAATAGTTCAAGTACATGATACAAGAAACCACGAAAATTATCTAAAACTCACCGAATTTTGGCTGTGAAAGCGAAAATGGCTGTGAAAGCAACTTGAAATCAAATTTGTCAATATTAATCATTATTATAAATATAATTTCTGGTATTCCATACAGGTTGACTTACTTGAGACGCACCTGCACGGGAAATCCATCCTAATGCATCACTTAAAATAAAATTAAAATTAATAATTACAAATGTAACATTCGGAGCATTTCAAATTTTTAATTAATTTTAACTACTTATTCAATGACAAAAGATAAATGTACCTTTAATCAGAAAACAACAATAAAATATTGATAAATTTTACAATCTTTTCAATATTCTCGTTGGGAGCAATAAAAACCCCATAAAATTGTTATTACCTTCTGCCAAGAATAATCCGTTACAAAATCAGAATGGTTAATCAATGTATACAGGGCGACTCGTAATTATCTCGATGAAAAAATTATCTAGCTTTTCCTAAAAATAAAGAAACACTTGTTGAACAATCAATCGATATTTGTGGTATTGAAAAGCAGTCTTATAATAATATTGTCGTAAATCAAAGTTGTGTTACAAGCTACCGAAATCTCGCATTGAAATATGTCAAACAAAATTTCCCATTAATTGCGACAATAAAAGCAGTATAATAGGAAAATAATAGGTGAAACGTGACGAGATCAATAAATATGAAAATATGGCTAAGGAAATTAGAATATGTCATTTTACACGCCGAGGACGTGTTAAATTTTTATTGGTATTTTACATATTTTCGTATTATCCTACGTATGCTTTCTTTTATTAGTAAAATAGTCTACAAATTTAATTTAAAATGTACTTTATGTGAGAATTTTGTTAACTCAAATATTCTTATAATTTTTAACAAATCTGCTTGTTTAAAATTATAGAGCTAGAGTCTACAATTCCAATATATAAACCCGTTAGTTAATAATAATTCATCTCAATTACAGCAAAAATTCAGTCGAAAATTCAGTTGAAACTCACCTAATACATACCCGAACTCGACTCGTAAAAAAATACCAAATTCACGACATTTTCATTTCGATTTTCCACCGTTGCAACGTTACCGGCGAACGAGCGACGTGCAAATGGCCACAACACATCGCCTCGATCCAAACTCAGGACTAACTTTACGCGAATCGCACGTGGGCGTCGATCCTTTTCGCATTTTCAAATTTACGGTCTGATACGGCGGAAAATCGCGCTCGCTCCGCTCGAAAACCTCGATAAAACACCCAACGCGGCAACGCCGCTACATCGTGACGTCACGACCGCATTAGCGCGAGCCTACTAGATGCAACATTTGGGTCCTAAATGTCACTTAATGCAAGTAATTTACTCGGTAGATACTTTATTGATTATAACATTTATATTAAAGAAGGTAATAAATCGTCGTCGTCGTTATCTTCTGGTTCGGTTTGAGTTTTTTGGAAATTTGGGAATTTAATGGCAGTTTGAGGGGCTGTTTCGAATACATCGTAAGGCACGAGGTCTTCGGGTAAGGGCCAAATTTTGTCTGAAATATAAATCTGCGTTAAATATGGCTGGAATAAACGTGGATTTAGCGGCTCAGATTTTATAACGACCTGTATGAAGCTGATAAGAGAAGAGAGTCCCGTAGGATTTGCGGTATTCGTCGAGATCCATTGGAAATTCGCCGTTGATTAGTAATTCCAGTTGTTCGATTTCGGGTAATAAGGGCAGTAAAGGGTCGATTTTATCGATTATCTCGACCTGATAAACCAATGCGCTTTGTGTAAATTGCAAAATTAAATTTTTTTGCATTAATTCTTACTTCAATTTCCCTCTCTGTGTTACTGGTTGTTTCAACAAATGCTACAGATAAATCTGAAAATTTTTTAACGCAATCGAATGTGATTTTTGCTATATCAGTCACTGAATTCGCATTAAAATTAGATGAACTTTTTCTAGGTTCTGCATTGTAGAACTTCCAATCGTTTATTAAACGCTGCAATTAAACTCGATAAGTTTATTAAAGACATCAAGTTATCTCAAAATCAAAAAGGGTGAGAGAATTTGACAAGTTGACAGGAAAAAAGTTACTAGATTTAGAAATCAATGGTGCCAACAAAAATTTTGTTCTTGTCAAATGGTTTTAAAACATACGTTGTTGATGTGATGCAGTGATACGAGTAATTTCAATTTTCCGAATTTTCCGAAGTCTTGCGATCGATACAAGAGTTTCAAGTGTTGACCGATTGCGTCTTCGTCTCCCTAAAATATATTCGATTAAGTGTAAAAAAATTGTAAAAATGAGTGTACCTCGAGCAGATGGACAAAATACTTGTCGTGGTAGAATAGAAATCCTGATAACTTTTCAATTATCAAGCATTTAGTGTTCACTTCTTCTACAATTTTTTGGAAAAAGTCTTCCAGCTTTTTCTCCGACGAGTTTGAAAAATAATGTAACCCGCAGTATATTATGCGATGAATGAACGTTTTCTGAAACAAGAGTTTTTTATAAGGGTAAGTGCAGTTTTGTTCGCAATATGACCGATTTTCTTGTACCCTTCCAACTAATTCCAGATTCTCCACCAGAACATCGTACATCGTTTTTCTAATCGGTTCTTTTACGCCTTTATACGATTTACCGAACTGTTTTTCTCCAGATCTTCCATTTTGTTCACCCGGGCCGTTTTCTTCCATATTCACACTACAAAATCTAGTTGGCCGCCATGCCGTTTGATCGATGAACCCAACAAATAGATAGGTTGCTGTGGAAGTATCTGTCAATTTTAACATCTAAAATGTCACTGATGACATTCCACGACCACCTTCTTATATTGCATATATGCAATTATTTAAAAAAAAGATTGTACCAGAGTTGGCGATATAGCGTTGATCGATTGTTACATACCAACCGGCGTTTTTTCGCCTCGGCACGACCGGATGTAGGTCGTGGTATACATTATAAATAAAAGACGAAAAGGTCCGCCATCTGAAGATTGGCCATTTAAATAAATTACGGTATAGAAAATTTAATGTCGCCTTCAGTTTTCGATTGTCCGTTTCGGAAAGCGGGTCGTTTCTATCATGCGTTCGACGTGCCGAGCGATTTTCTGGTTAGCGATGTGTGCCCGTTGTTCGACGAGATTTCTTCTACCGCCGGTACCCGATGTTGTTCATCCTCCTGTACCCGATATCGGTCAGTCTTTGCTATTTTTTACCCTTCGAAAACTCTTTGTTTCTTTTTCTTAAACGTCATTCGGTGGAATGTGTCAAAACTGTCACTTTTGACAAGCGTAGCTGGCCGTGGATGTTAATGGGTAATACATTTTTGCGCAGGTTTGTCGAATTTCACGTTAACGGAGGAGGAAAATGCGGATCCTGAATTATCTCCGGGCCTCTTCCAAGGCGATATGGCTCTAACGAATGATTTCTATAATTATTGGCGGGTGGGGATCAAGTTCGATGCTTATCCTGATAAATTGTGGCCGAATGGTATTGTGCCCTATACTATTAGTCCTTTATATGGTAAGTAATGTATAATTTCCGAATTATTACAAAGTAATTACAAAAATGATACAAATGTTTAAATATCTTATTGCGTTTTCTATTCCTGTAATATCAGTCAAAAAAGCATTAGCCTTGGATGTCATATTTGACAGAATAAAATTCAATGTCAAAAGTGACAGTTGTCGTATCAATTTTTCTACCATGAAAGGTTGAAATTTTATAATAATAGAGAAAAATGAGGCATATAACTTGGTAAGAATAATAAATTCTCATTGTATTGTAATATCCAGAGCCATCGGAGCAAGTGACTATATTAAAAGCGATGAAAATCATCAATTTCATGACTTGCATCAAGTTAGTACCGTGGGATGGTAAGGCGAAGGATTACCTTCTAATTTGGCCCATAAAATACCCGAAAGGTTGTTGGTCGTTCGTCGGAAGGTACGGAGGAGCCCAAATTTTGAGGTCAGTAATTTTCACAGCATTTTTTAATCTACGAGGGATGTTTCTAAAGTTCTGGAAATTGTGCAAAACTTATAGGCATTAGTCCGTATATTCAGCGCCCTCATTTTAACTTTAAACATGACTGAAGAGGGCCACTTATAGTAGAGGTATAACTGTCAAGTTAAAGACGCTTCTTTAAAGTCGCGTTTAGACATTTTTATGCAACTATCCAGTTGCATTCAGCACATTCCAAGAACTTTGGAAACATCACAACATTCACAAGATTGTGAATTCTGATATAGTTATGGTTCGTTTTGCAGTTTACAACCACCAGATAATAAAGGTAATAACTGTTTAGGCAACGAGGGAAGGGCCATACACGAGCTGATGCACGCCTTGGGCGTTTTCCACGAACAGTCCCGCTGGGACCGCGATAAATTCGTGAAAATCCACACCGATAACATAATACCGCGTAAGTGCATCCACTTTCCGGCTTATCACCGATGTATACGCGAAATTTGCCTTACGGGTTGCAGAATTCAAGGGGAACTTCGACAAGCAGAGCCTAGACAACACGACGTACAGCTTCGAATACGACTACGATTCGATCATGCACTACGGGAAATTCTTCTTCAGCAAGAAGAAAGGGAAACCCACCATCACCCCGAAGCAGCCGAACGTGAAGAGCATCGGCCAGAGAAAGGGGATGTCCAAGGGGGATTGTCTCAAACTGAACGATTTGTACGGGTGCTATAAGAATCCCGGCAAGCGACGGAAGTACTACAACATTTGCAATTTCATGGGTGTGTAAAGGCGATTCCAATATCAGTAGTAGTACCAGGTAGATTATAATTATTAATCCCCCGTTTACGCAAAATTCGTAGATTTCTTCTACGGTATCGTAGAAGTTCTCGTTTTATTGCTGATGATTGGAGTGATTTCATTTTTGATTAACTTTTTGTTCAATTCAAGTACCAGTTTGAAATTTGGTCCCTCTTAAAAATTGAAAGTGATTCAAATAATCTGGTAATACAAGACGGAAACTGAGTACAATATGTACATCTTTTATCAAACGAGTAAACAAGTTTACTTAGATAATTAATTTATTCGAAGGAGTAAATGTTGTGAGGGAATTGCATTTTAGTGTGTTTGTTTGAATATGCAGCGCCGGTAATAGACAGAAAAAATGAATCGAACTAGCTCGTGGAAAACAATTTTATTCTCGGTAACGTTAAAAAAGTAAACAATACGACAATTAAAATATCATTTTGTTATTTATTAAAAAATTAGCTGCATCCAGACAGACAGTCAACAGATAAGAACGTACAAGTACGTTGTATTTGTTCGAAAATTACTTCATATCTTTGGAACTATTTAGATAAACGTCTGGTCTTTGGTCTAGTTTTTTTTCCGTCACGAGATAAGGATAATATCCGAAGGTGAACGCAATGGGATCCGTGCAGGAATTAAAACTACTATATTGTTTATAATAAAATTGTATTTGTTTATAATAAATAAGTATTTTGTTAATATGTACACTGAAATTCCAAATATCGCGTCTACGTTAAGACATTTTAAACATTCATCTCGTCTTCGCGTTTAATATCAATCACAATATTTTGATCATTTATAAAAAGAAACATTTAAAATGCCGTACAATAGAACGTTTTCCTATGCTTTACATCGAAGTAGAACTAATGTCAAAGAATGTCAATTTTGATTGTATTTAAATTTGTACACGAACAAATTTAATTTAGGGGGCGAACTGCTCAGAAACACTTTTTTTTCCTTACTATTATTTATATTCGATCTACGATCAACATTTAGAAACATTTTAAATTTACGAAATCAGCGCAGTTAATACTCTTCGAAACAGTGTTCCTATCGCAGCATATATACAGGGTGGAATTAATGTTTCGGTAGACATTCGATCCGAATTGCAGCGCGAAAGTTTCCATCCGCTTGTAAATAATACCTATCGGCGGGGAAAATTCGACGGGCAATCGGAAAGCGAAACAAAACGATCATAATTTACCTAGTATTGCGTTTAATGTTAATAACTTAAAGGTTTTTTTTCACTTCGCATTAATCGCCACCCTGTATATATTTCGAAAAATACAGGATTAAGCCGAATCTAATCAATTTTCTTTAAGGTTACGAACAAATCGAACGCTTCGCGAGTGCGCAAGCGCCACTTTCCGTCGATTTTTCTCTTAAATACCTATAATTAATTTTTTGTATTTTTTTCTCTCTCTCCCTCTCGCTCATCTTATAAACAATATTTAAAAACAGAACAATGTTCTACTGTTAATTGTTTTATTTTTTTTTCTTTAAGTGAAATATCATTTATCGTTCTACGAGTTGCGGGTCAAATGCCAAATTGTTTATTCTTTTGATTTAATTAAATACTATTAGTTTATTATATTATACACCTTCCCTTAGATAGAGATTTAACAGCGAGGTTCGGGCTACGATATTTACTTAATTTTTCTTTATAAATCGATATCGGTGCTGCGTAAAAATTTCTTTTATAATAATTACCCTAAATTATAATAAAAAGTGTATTTAAACAATTCGATTAATTACCTAACATTAAAATTATTGTAATTGGCATTGCCACCTCGCAATTAAGTCTCCTTTTTTTGCAATGCAATGATATTTTCGTTTACGTAATATAAATAGACTCTACGAATATACAATATAAAAAATTCTACTGAATAATAAACGAATAAAAGAAATGACTGGGCGCGAAGTAAACGTTTATTTTTAATATAAATAATTATTAGATATCGTATGAAAAAAATATAACTAAATAAATTAAATATGAGACCATACAATGACGGTTTAAACAATAATAATAATAACAATATTTATTCATCTCCTCTCTTGCTGTGATAGTTATTTATTTATTTCAATAATAATCGATGCGTTTGTTTAACATTTTTAATCCCATCGAGGCGCTTCAATGAAAACAGTGACGGCCATTTATACAACTAATTTTAAAATACTGCTGTACACGCTAATTTTGAGTATTTTTTTCCCGTTAAAAATATTAATCAACACTTAGTCTAAATAAAAACTAAAACAGCCTTTACAATTATTATATCTAGGGCTACGATTTTTCGGTACATACCGGGCGTTTTCGGGAAATTTTTTAAACACATCCCGCCATGTTTTGTATGTAGATAGATTTTTCGTTGGGGAAACCCGCCTGATTTCTTGTCAATTTATCGACAGTTGGCGGAAATAATCAAGTCACCTATGATTTACTACGTCACAAGTAGGCAGTGTTGCCGAGCTTTTATAGAGTTTGCAAAATCTGAGAATTTTCTAAAATTGTCGAATGGTAAAACGACGAGAACAAATTGAAAATTAGGGGTAATTAATCATCGAATTCCTTTATTATCTGAAATATATTTAACAGTGCGAGTAAAAAAATAGGCCCTTAAAAGAGTACATGAATCTGAATTATTAGAGCTCAAATTGTGCCGTGCACCGACTATAATTACTAGTTGATAAATTGACGTTTAAATCACGTAGGTTTCCCAATTATATTGCATTGCTTTCACTATTTTTTTTTCATGTACACAGTACATAGGTAAGACGATTTATTTAGTTTCTCCACAAAGATATTCGCCATTAGAACGGTTTTTAGTTAGAGTACAGATCGTTATAAGTAGATAAACATTTATCGGGGGAAGAAAATGCGCAAGCGTCGCGACGCGATACGCGCGCCGTCGTGCATTTATTTCAGTGGGTTTTGCGTACGTTTGATATGTGATATATTTCGAATGGAAGCGGTTTTTCCTTCCGAATGTCGAAATATCTTTGCAGCGAAACTATAAAAATTTATACTGCATTTGGCATGCCGCGCACATTCGATATTTCACTGATAACTAGATTTAAATGACTTACTTAGTTTATTCAATGGTTTTTTTTTAATTAATTAATATATGTTACACATGTATACCACATTTAAAAAAGTGCTTTATCCGGCGATAAGCGCGCTTTTTATTAAAAAAATACTAAACGTCCTTTAATAGTCGTTGCTAAATCACACTGTCGATGGTTATCCACGAACTAAATTGGCTGACCGACAGTTATCCTTTCGCCTTTAAATCGTGTCCGAGTTTTGTTAATTTTTTTTATACATGCCAAACGGCGAGGCGCGCCGAAAGAAAAACCGATCCGATTCCCGGCCGGAGAATTCGATCCGGGCGGCGGAAAAACCGCGAACTCCGGCTCATCCGCCGCTCTCCCGTTACACCGGTGAACCGGACGGGAAGTTTTCGACGCGACTCGTACACATTCGTATATCCTATAAAGCATGTAGACTAGTGGAATATATCGATAACCGATCGCAAAACTGCCGTTTCGCCCGTGCAAGAACCGTTTTGCGAGGTTATGGCGATACAAGGCGTTTCGCCCGGCCTTTCGACGCGCTTTAATAAATTTCAATTAACGAAGAAACGATTTTTTTCAGCCTTAAATATCCAAGGCGATTGCGAAAGTGTAAAATATGACTAATAAAATTGGTGAAATTTTGAGTATACAGGGTGTCATCTAAATGATGGCTTTAATTTCAGATTTCAGGGAGTGATTCCTTGTCATATTTTATGAAGAAAAGTTCATATAAACGTGTGTCTTAATTTGCTTCGTTTCCGAGTAACGGGGTGTTAAATGTTTAATGAAACAGTCGGTTTGTCATAAATTACTAAAAATTCTCTTCCTTTCAAATTTTGATTTTTAATTTCAGTGGCGTCGCAGTAGAGGGGGTTACCTGTACGGTAGAGTACAATGATTTTCACCATAAATATCAATCAGGTAACCCTCTGCTGCGACGCCGCTGGAATTAAAATTCAAAATCTAATTTCATGACAAGAAGCCCCCTATTACTGCTAACAAACACACTAAGTTTAAGCAAAATCATTTAAGTGACACCCTGTATATTAAAAAAAAACGCGTCGAAAAGCGCGATAACGGCCCCGGGCCCGGTTAAGGGACACGTTGAGCTAAAAAAAAAAACAAAAATAAAAAATAAAATAAAATTGGAATCAGAAACATGAATTCACACAAAAAGTCATCAGCTAAGAGGGGACGTATGGTCAAACGTCGTGGTGATGCTTGGAGCGGTGCTCCGCCCCCGGCGCCCCCCTGTGCATCTTCACCACCGTCGGCACGATCACTACGGGCAACGCGGGCGCCGGCGGCGGTTGTTGGTAAACAGTTTTTTTGCCGCCGCCGGTGAATATCTTAACAGTCCTTTGTAAAAAATCAGTCTTTTGGATGGCGGGCGTGGCGGCGTTGAGGGAGGATTTCGACGACGTCGACGACATCGAGTGGCATCGGACGACCAGCGGATTGCTCGGCGACGACGTCGACCAGTCGCCGCTGCCCGACGACGACGACGACGAGGTGGACAGCATGCCCGCCGAACAGGACCTGTACGGTGGCGGCGATTCGCTTTCCAGCACCGTGCGATTCGGCGGCGGTCGGATGCACTTTTGGTAAATTTCCGATTCCTGAAAAACATGTTTACTCATATTATTTTGTTCTATACACATATGCAAACATCTACTGTGTTTGTACTCGTCGATAAAGGCGAGTTTGTTGTTAAGTGCCAAGGTTGTAAATTGGGCGCTGAAGGGATTATAGATTTTAATTTTATAGGTAAATTGGGCGTCTAAGAGTTTATAGGTTTTAATCCTATAAAGGAAAGTACTAAGGAAAGTACTTTCATGCACATATTTTCTTTCATTATCATTCAAGAATTATGTAAATTAGGATCTCCTACCCTATTCTAGAATTATTCTCTGCTCTTCTCCCTTTAAAACTATTCTACTCTACACCAGTCCCTTCTAATCTAGCCTACTCTATTTAATTCTACTCTACTCCCTTCTAATCTATTCTCATCTACATTGTGCTTCATTGGCGATTGCAACATGGGCATTTCTATGAGTTGAACAAAGAAAGATTATTAAAATAACAGTTCTCAGAGTGAAAAGTTGCAATGACACAAATGTCATTCTTTCTTTTTCCTATAAATGTCTAATTGAAGTTGTCTTTGTTGCACCCACAGCATATGTTGCAATGAAAAATGGAGCAATCTGTATAACTCTTCTCCCTTCTTCTCTACTCTATTCTCTTCAACTCTACTGTACTCTATTACACTCTTTGCTTATTGCTTTTTGAAACAACACTCATAAATGATCAATTTAAAAAAAATCCTATTTTCTACCTGAAAATAATCTTGCCTCCAATTTACCTACATGATTAAAAATACCATTTTAAGATCTCGTGCAATATTTCTGCACCCATTTACCACTACCGGTGAAGTGAATAGAAACCAACTAAAACATGCATTGTTTCATTCGCCAGATTATAAATAAATATATTTTCTTTTTCTGTCAACATTTATTCCAAATATAATATTTCGCAGACTTTACTCAAACATTAATGAGTGCAACAAAATAAACTATTAATTTGTTAAAGTTTCATTGAATAAAGTGTAACACAAAGGAAAGTTTGCGGTTATTGGAGTTTGAGGCCGTTTCGAATTCGCCGCATCGGCACGTTCCGGATAAAACGTTAGATGGGTCTCCGCAGGAATTATTAATCATATCGGGATTTCGATACAATATAATTACAAATTCGCCTGTCGGTTCGCGAACAACGGAAAAATATTTATAGAAATCGACACGATTGTTTTGACTGTATCATTTCAAAACAAAATACACGGCACACACACACACGGGCGTATTGTAATAATCGGAAAGCGAGCCGGCTCGGCGCGTTTTGGAGCGCTTTTTCATCGGAAAATTCGCCGGCGAGCGAGAGGAAAAAATTGGTCATTGTAGCGTGAAACAAAACCTTTTTGGATCCGTGCCTGAGGAACTGTCAAAAAGCGAAACTTGGCACGCCATTTCCTAAACAAACTCGCCAATTCGAACTAGGTAGAGGCATTTTCTAAATCCGCACGCCAGATCGCGAGGTGTTCAAACAAACTTTTTTTCCCTCCATCCGGTGAAATTGCTACCTAATTAAGAATTAAGCGTAACAACGACTCGCAAAAAACGCCACAAAAAATTAGTATAGACTATTTTATACGACAGTGAAAGTTCATATATACCCCGGAAAACTAATTTTTTCTACTAGTTTTCTCCAGTAGATTTCAACTAAGATTATCTTAAGGATTTCAGAATTGTAGTATTAATAGAGACAATTTATGACATGACTGACATAAAGAAATCCCTTAGGGAGATGGTCTTGAGCTTTCCCGGTTACGCTAAACAGTTCGGAATTACGACACGGTGAAAATTCGCAGGTGAACGCCAGACGGCAGAGGAGCCGATTCGAAATTGGAAGGTATTCAAACAAAGCATTAAAATGTGTTTTTAGCGTGTCACTTCGTAATTCGATCCTTTCGGAATGATTTACGAAATCCGAGCCGAGCCGCTCCGAGCGTCTCGAGTCTTTCTCGAAAACGTCGAGCCGAAGCGACTCCTTCATTAGCGGATTTTTTATCCTTGACACACATGATCCTCGCCTTCTAACGAGATACGTCTAGTCAGGAAAATGTTACGGAAAAAACGGCGAATTGCATGCAACTAAGTTGTGCAATTTATACGCGCTCGTTTAGAGCGATTCATGCGAGAGAATATTAAAAATCTCGTCGTAACAATTTTATTCTACCGATAACAAAAAAAAACCGATTAAATTTCCATACATTAAAACGAGATTTATGTTTCAATTGATTTTTCGGTTTTTACACTCAAAAATCACGCGATTTATTCACCTCTCTCTAATCTCTTGCGATGCGGAATTTCTAGCGCAGCACAAAAACCCGGCTCGAGTTCCTTATTTTCCCGTTTTATCACGGGCCCATCAACGGGTGTTGGATTACGATGTTTAGTCTACGCAAAAGTAAAAGTCGTTCGGGTAAATAATTTCCCCGTATTGCCGGGTTTTCCGCGAAATTCGCAGCGTTTTCGGCGCGCGATTCCGAAAGAAAAATATTATCAACGCGCTTACAACAAGCGAGACGATCGGTTATGATGTATTTTCGATTCGACGTATCGATAAACATGAAAGAGAGAAAAAAAAAACGTAATTTTGTCTAGACGGAATTGGGTTGATTTTGACTCACGTGCGGTTTCCAAATCGATTAAATCGATAAGAGGTTGTCGTGGGTTATCGATTATTTTCGTTGTCTCTCTTCATTGATAATAGTCGATTTTATTATGGTAGGCCTTGGATGTCATTAAAATCAAATGTCAAATTTTTTCCATTAAAACGTCAATTATGTTAATGAGATTATTTGTATATCTGATTGCCAAATAAATCAAAACATCCATTTATCCTTTTTTTGCACGTAACCCATCAAACAATAAAATGTTCTCTCTTTTTTGCGTATTATTAGTAGGCTATAGCTGTCATTTAAAATGTCAAATTTCGATCCTACCGATTTTCGAGACAATCGCGTTTGTGCGAAATTCTTTATAGTTCTTCTAATCAATTTTATTATCCGACATTCCCAGACTGATAATCAGTTTTGTTAATCTTCGACGTAGCGCCGCAGTGTGTCGGTAAATGTACATAATTTTTTTAAATTCGTCCGTTCCGAATCCATTAATTTATTCAAACCGTGACAAACAAGTCTTATAGTCAGACGTACCAACGCAAAAAAAAAATAAATTAACGAACCATCCGGAGGTATGTCAATGACTATCGTTTTTTGTGTTTTTGCATTACAGTCCCATTCTTGTAAACAGTTTGCGGTAGACATAACAATGTTATTAACTCCAGAAAATACGGATATTCGGAATATTTGCGCCCAATTTTTCCTACGCTTATTTCAAGCAAAGATATTGCAGGTACTTACACCTACTCGAATCCACATCAGAATCGAGTTACCGTTGCTCAAAACGCAAGTGTCAAATGTCTTTAGCTGAATTGTCTAGCCAGTTGAGGCCGATAATACAGAAGAAGAAGAAGAAAACTTTGGAAGAGTTAGAATTACTTACTTGCTCGGCATCCCTTATGTGAAGCCTGGACGACGTGTAGGGGTGTTCCTCCCCGTCGGGCATTTCTATACTAGGCGGCAGGTTAATAGTGATGTCGGTGTGCAGCCTCATTTGGCGGTGTTCCCGCGTCGCCGCCGCCGCCGCCGCCGTCAGATCCCTGGCGCCGGCTCCGGGACCACCTCCGCCGCCCCCGAGCCGGTCCATGCCGCCGCCCATGCCTGCCGTCGTCACGCCGGCGCTCACCACTGACAGCATCTGGAAAAAGGAGCGAAACGGCCGAATGTTAAGAGAGATTCGAACGAGGTTTCGGTCGGGCTACAGTACATCGTCAGGGTTCGATTTGGAAATTTCCGATTGCGTCGCGTTTACATAAATTACGGTGTATTTCCGACAATTAGGTTGCGTCATAGACGGACTAATTACGACATTCCCGAGGTGCTGCACCGTGGGATTCATCGCCAATATAAACGGATAATATTTTAGTTTTTTTTGTAATAGAACTTTTACTAATGATTCAGAGGAAACTTTTCATGCATTTCGCTAAGCTAATTCGAGTGGAATTTAAAGTGCCATATTTTCAACCCTTTTTATCTCGATTCGTCTTGTAAGCGAGTGGATTACTAATTAAAAAAATCTACTTGCTACTGGTAATCAAGCGCTCTAACGAGGACTAATCAAGCAACCCAAAAAAAAGTATATTAATTATGCTTTAAACGCAAATAGAAAGCGTGCGATATAACAAAATTACCATAAATCACAAACTACACAAATCTAGGGATATCCCAGTGTTGCCACAAACTCCCTAGATTCACCCAGGCCGACTAGATGTATATAGTTTCGATTTGGAAGCGGCGACGTGCGCTCTCGCGGAGCCCGAAACTCGAGTGTAAAATCGATATTTTTTCTATGGATTTTTTTCGCCGTATTTCGCCCATCGGCTTTATTTATTGCTCCGAAGCGGTATGGCTGCCATCCGAAGGCAGCGCACCAATTGTTTTTATCTATAACCTTGTATCGCGGCCGTCTGCGACTGTGACATTTTATGACGAGAGGTTCTCTGATAGCGGGAGCGTGTAATGTGTGAGCGTATTGTGTGTGTGTGTGTATAAATTAATGTATAATGTCGTTACGTACACGTACGTTTGATAGAAGGCTCGTTTTTACGGTCCGAACCGGATTTCCAAAAAATTGTAGGCGTGACTGCGACGATCTAATGCGAAAGAAATTCGCGCCAGACAGTTTAAATTACGCTATGCGACTATGAATGTATAATGGATATGAATTTTTTTTTCGTTCGGATTATTAGCATACCGGGCTGTTTGCGGCGGTATATCATCCGAAGCGCCGGGGCTTCACATCGTCGATTTGAGCCTAATAGCCTCGCTAGACGAGGCCGTCGAATGGCGGAGAAGAGGAAATTTTGTAATTAACGAAGTCAAGTGGTTCACTATAAATAAGATTGCAGGAAATTACATTCGAATCATTCCAAATGTTTGATATTTACATATCACACGGCATAAGTATGTGTTCTGTCATTTAGACTTTAAAATGACATTCATAAACTTCACAATATTGACAGATCATTTACCATCAAGAACACTAAACTATCAAAGGATGTATCAATCTTATTGAGACATCAGCTACATACAACCCACAATATTGTTGATATCCTAAAAGTAGTTAGGAGAAGAGAGTTTAATAATAGCTGGTGGATGCAATCGTAGATATTAATTCCCGTTAGTGTCGCGTCGGATCGTTACGGGCAAGTGCGCTCCTGCGGATCGTAATTGGTCCGGTTGTTACAACCACCGGCTAAACAGACAAACGAGCTGGCCCCGGCCGGCCCGTCTGTATATCGCTCGCTCTTTGCTCTTCTTTCAGATTTCCTGCAGTTGCATTGCAAGTCGCAACTGCGGTTTTGTTTTTATTTAACGTTCGCGTCTAGGCAAAAAAGACGGCGAGATGTGTGTACGTGAAACGACCGCTTTTCAACCGACTAGAACTGTCGTCGGTCCGCGATTATGGTCCCTTTTTCCCCGGAGCCGGGTCGACGAGAAAAACTCAAATTGGTTCATTTTCCGTAAACGGTACCGTCTGCTTAGCCACTGTATACAGTAATGGCGTTTGACGTTTTGTTGGTGATGAATTTTCGCAAACGGTACCGTCAACTTAGCCACGGCGAAAACCTTTGGCAGTAATGACGTTTGAAGCTGTCAAATTAAAATTCTCCCACGATTTGCGATGGGGTGATTGTTTGATGCACGTATGACGGCCGTAGACCACCCGCCCTTTTGTTAGCGTTTAATAACGCAACCCCTTGATGTTCGAAGCGCATCAACTCTATTCGAGGGTGGCTTTTTACGCTACGAAATTTCGGCTACTACAAAGCCCCGAAGACCGTCGAACTAGTTTAATTTAAAAATACTTCAGCGGTAACTGCGCATTTTACTCGTATCTAGTAGTTAAATTTCCCTAAAAGCCATAAATAACGTAATGTCCAATCACTCCGCGCGGCTACTAGATGTAATAGGAAGAAACTTCGACTTTCGTTTTTTGCCGCACAGCCTACTTGGCACTTAAATAGCAAATCGGCTCTCGCATTAAAAAGGTCACTTGATTGTGTTAAAAACAAAGCAACGCGTCTTACCGACAAAGGAAACAACAATTGCCAGTAAAACTTTCAATACCTACCTACCTAGGTCGCTGATTGCGATAGCGGTAAACGGCCATAAGAGCAAAGAATCCCGCATAGATTGCGTAAATTCAATTAAAAATATCGTACGGGAGACGAGAGGAAATACAATTTATACAGCCAGGAAGAATAAATAAACGTTTGTGCGTATTTTTTCCAACATGGTAACCGACGGTAACGAGCGTACGTTATGCATAAGTGCACTCCGATAATTATTTATGCAAATTCTAGAAAAATTACAAATTATTACGTAGCGTCAAGGTTAAACAATCATGTAACCAGTTTGAAATTACTCACCGCTTTGACACACTAATCGTATACCGGGAGAAATACGAGTAGAAACGCGACAGATCGACGGGGCATTTCGCAACGCGAATTATACACATACAGGAGAGAAACCGTGCACTTTTCCAGCATTTGTCGTGCGTTCGCCCGATAGACGAAAGGCCTTCGTGTGTGCGGATAATCGTCACACCGTCGCATGTCGTTCGGATTTTATGTATTTGCGCTCGCCTAATTTAAATTTTAAACGCTCCTCCCGCGGGATTATCGTTATTATTATTGCGATTGTAAAGCGTGTATGCACGGGGACTCATTGGGATCTATCACGCTTCGAGATGGACAAAGTTATAGTCAAAGGTCACAATCACACTCCGGCCGGACGATAAGGAAAAAACCCACGAGGATATCATCGAGAGCGTTTATCGCCCGGCCCGCCGGAAAATAGGTTGAATCGTTGAAAAAATCGACGGTTTATCTACGATATTCGACGATCGGGCTGATGCTAACGCGATGCGAAATTGCTACAGTGCGGCCGATAAATTCGAAATTCGCCCATAATCGGAATCGTAGACTAAATAAGTCGATAAACCCGCAAACATCTGCTTCAAAACGAGTATGAAATAGTAAGAAAGTTTGATGAATGTAGATAGCAAAGGTGGTGAATTACATGGAGTTTACACCAGGCTAATACAATGGATAGATTCTTCTTTTTGCTAACTATTTATGGCTCTATCTTGCAGTCGATTGCTCGAATTAATCTTCCAGTATCTTACCACCTTTCGTACTCACTGAAAAGCTTCTTATCAGTGCAATTGTAGAAGCCTAAAATCCTTCTCTGGAGGAAATCTAAACTTGCAAGTTTAGTTCTTCATCTATCCATTTACCTATTGCGTCCTTTAGCAATATCTTTATAAATCACCACCAAGCAGATCTAGTGCAAGCCGATTCTTCTATCTTTCGTAACAAACATTCATGATTCCAACTGTAGAAGCCTAAGAAGGCTCCGAAAGTCAACTTTTCTCAGTAGTTTTTAATCTATCCAATCCTCACACAGGTTCATCTAGTAATAGTTCTAGGAATCGCCAATTTAAAGGCTCTAAAGGAGATCTTTTCTGACAAGTTTCTCCACCAATATCTTTATACAAATCACCACTTGTTACTGTTATTCTCGATGTGTATTCTCGAATAATCAGTACACCAGGTTTAACGCTTTATTTATACTTTATGGATACATTAACTAATAACAATTATAAATATAGCAACCATGACGCCATGTCTGCTGTTTTATGCCATCGCCTATGACAGAACCGACAAGTGACAGTGACACTAATCTCGCCCTGGCTAAGGTTCCGTCACCCGATATCCTACATAACAATTACTGGGATCCTCCCCGTTACTCCCTACAAGAAACCTCTTTGCAGGAGTACCCCCGACATGTTCCACGACTCGTGACCAGTGATCTGCCTCGGGGCAGATCTTCGGGTCCGTTTCAATATCGGCGTACCCGGAGGACCGCGCCGCATTCGCCCCCGATTCGAGCGCGGCTCAGACACTCGCACCTGCCGAGGGGCGCGTCCGACGGAGACGACGACACGGCCGGAGAGGAGGACGGAGAGCGCCCAGACCGCCGGCAGACATGGCAGCAGCCAAGGCCGGAGAACGAGCGCCGTCTCTTTCTATCGTCGACGGGTCCGAGCCGCAGCGGCGGGGGCGGCCGGGGGGCGAGCGCCCCCCCTGAACAGGGCGGAGAACCGCCGAGTACCGAGTTTTTGTTCGGGGGGGATTCGCGGCGATTTTTTGGAAGCGGCTCAAGGATGTCGGGAGGATTTTTATCTAAAAATACGATTACTATCGGTTTTATAATGAAATCCGTCTGCCATTAGCATAGATATCGAATTTAATATATGATTTAATTGTCGCTGAGAAATACACGTTTTTTTTTTCTAATATAATGACGAATAAAATTTTAGATTTATTCAATCGCTTGTTTACAATTCCTATCTGCCTATTAAGATTGATCAGATATCGTTTTTTTTTCCAATCTACTAGATGACATCTTATCGCCTATATTACTACTCTATCAATTCCATTCGTATAGTGCATTCAATATTTAAGCGCGTGACGTCAACACCTTTCTACAATTTCGATAACTAGTTAAAAGAAACCCGCGTAATCTAATTAAATCGTAATTAAACCATCGAATTTTTAATCGATCATTCCGGAATCGAGTAACCCAATTCGATTCGATTTTCTGGCCGGTGTATAATGTAAATGGGCGCGC